CATAAAATTACCATCATGTCTATACTAATTGTTGAACGCGTGTTTGACACTTACATCTGAATCTAAGTATACGATAATCTATATCCCTACACCCTTTAGACACTCCATCATCATCATATCACCAACTAAGAAAGTGACATTCCACAAATAGTACCTTTAATCATCTTATCCAAAAGACTCATCCAATTAAAGTGACATTGTGGGTTTATGCTATATACATATATTACTAGTATAATATACAGTTTGCATGTTTGCTTCCTTTTTCTTCAAAAAAGGAGGAAAGAAAAAGAATTGAGTGAAAAAAAGGGAATCAACAAAGATATGGGACCAAAATAACACTTTTTAGGTTGTCAGGGAATATACAAGATCTGCTGCATAATAAATCGTCAAATAAAATGAAATTTAACAAAATACAATGAACTCTTCGCTTGCTACATGCAATAATAATCTAAGATTATTGGATTGAAGATTAAGTGAGAGTTCAATAGTACAACTCCTACGTTCTAACGAACAAATAGATCGAAGGTTTTGATTCGATCTCACGACTCACCTCCTATAATATCTTGGTTGGATGTAATTGTGTCATAGATTTCCTTTCATATCTATGCCCTAATTCTTCTTATAATTATGAAGGTTATGCAATCATTTTTAAATGTTCGTTAGTTATCTCCATATTTCTCAAATTAATTATTAAAATTATACTCGTAAGACTGTAAGTAATATATGCTATGTCCGTTATCTTTTACTTATAACATAACCTTGAGATATGTACTTTTAATTTAAGAGGACGCTAGAAAAGGAAAAAAAAAAAACAAAAAATGACTTTATCAAAATAACATTAACAGAAGATATAGGGGAGGGTTAGGTATTATAGTACTCCGTATTATGTGTAAAAATAATTCTAATTTATACGTTCACTTAACTTAGGGCCTGTTCCGATTGACTGAACTAAACTGAACTGAACTGAACTGAACTTATTAATTAATGATTTCTAACTACGGATTAGTGATCTTTGATTATTTATTGATCATTTATTACTATACATATGTGTATATACAAATGTACATATTATTATTAATAATAATAATAATAATAATAATAATAATAATAATATTATTATTATTATTATTATTATTAATTTTGATTATTATTATTATTATTTATTGATTATTATTATTATTATTATTATTAGTATTAGTATTAGTATTATTATTATTATTATTGTTATTATTATTATTATTATTTATTGATGATTATTATTATTAGTATTATTATTTCAATTATTATTGTTATTATTATTATTATTATTATTATTTATTGATGATTATTATTATTTATTATTTATTACTTATTGATTATTATTATTATTATTATTATTATTATTATTATTATTGTTGTTGTTGTTGTTGTTGTTGTTGTTGTTGTTAATAATAATATTATTATTATTATTATTATTGTTGTTGTTGTTGTTGTTGTTGTTGTTGTCGTCGTTGTAATAAGAGTTTAAAAGAATGAAATTTGGCTTTATATCATTAGCAATATCATTAGACGTAAATTAAGAGCTGAACTGAACTGAACTGAATTTCAACGGAAGAGAACATACCCTTATTTAGATTTTTTTTTCTTCAAAAGAGCATGCTATGAGGCTGTGTTAGAAGTAAAAGAAAATAAAGTATGAAACTAAATAAGAAAGCTGCACATACATGGAATATTTCACTTAAAGTGTTTTTTTTCCCCTTTGGAACCACGTGTTTTTTTTTCTTTTTATTTATTTTTAATTTAAGCTTATTTATTGAATCATAAAAATGAAAAAGTAACTTTGAAGTAAAATTCGGATGAAAAGAACATTTTTTTTTATGGGAAGAAAAAGAATATTATTCAATTCTAATTTTAACTTTTGAGTGAGTTCAGACATTTAGCCCATTATAGTATAAATTTTTACCTACACCCCATGGCAGAGAACACAACCTGCACCCCCTACCCTCTGCGGGTGCTCCGCCCCCGCCCCTTTTCATTTATGAATTTCCTGCAAATTTTTATAACATGTTCATTTTTGAATTGGTAAATGTTCATTTATGTATCATTAAATGTTCATGTTTATAACAATGATTTTTTGTTCAAATTAATATATTTTCTGAATTGAATTCTAAGATTTTTCTATAAAAAAAAAAGAGAGAAAATTTATTTATAAGGATTACTGCGTTTAAATCATTTTTATTGTAAGAAACATTGCATCATCCAATGTTCATTTTGTTTATTCGTGTTTCAACAAATGTTCATTTTTGTATCATCAAATGTGCATTTTTGTATCATCAAATGCTCATTTCAAGAGCTATGTGTTAGTTTCATAGTAAGATGTATAATATACAAATACATACGTCTTAGAGTTCTACTTATGTTTAAATAAAACGTTGTTACAAAATAATTTCCAATATAAAATAAATTTAATTTAATTACAATGATGACGCATTTCTATATAACTATACTATTACATGTAATAATTGTTTCATAAACATGAAAGTGAACCAAATGTACATATGTGTCTTGTTAAATGAACATTTTTTGTTACATTTGATATAATAAAGTGTATATATGTATATCCTCCTTGTTGCACCTCTAATATATATGTGTGTGTGTGTGTGTGTGTGTGTGTGTGTGTGTGTGTGTGTGTGTGTGTGTGTGTTTTCCATGAAATATATAATATGAGCACAATATATTTATCGCCTTCAACTTCCTTACTTGATTATCCTGTACAATAAGAGATCGATAAAGTTTTTTTTAAAAAAAATAATTATAACAACATTCCAAACAAAAGTACATTAAATATAAGGATTCAAATTAAAATTGGACTTTAACGCATTAATAATAATAATTACAAATTTAGAAATAGACACACTATAAATATATAAAAATATTTCAACATGAAAATGAAAACGTATAAAATCTAAATGAACATGTATTAAATTCTAAATGAGCATGTATTAAATTCTAAATGAACATTTATTAATATGAAAAAGAACATATATATAAAAAATTCAAAAGAATATCTATAAATGTAAATGACCATAAAAAATAATCCAATATATCAAAATACAACTTAATATGTATTGATATTAAATGTGAATAAAATATCATAAAATTAAATTATATTTTAAAATATAATCACCAAAGGTTTATAATGAATGAACAATATGTGATTTATTTTTTAACATTTTTTGACATGTGAATGAACATACATTAATATATGTATGAATGTACACATATCCAAATGAACATTTATGTATCAAATTCGAATAAGCATCTATCAATATTAGAGCTAAATTGTATATCAATATTAGAGCTAAAATGTATGTAATATAATATTCAAATGACGCTCATGAGCATATAATTTAATATGAAGTTAAACATGTATGATTATAGTCTTTGTGGATATTTTCAATATGAGAATGAACATGTACATATTTATATTAAATAAACATATGTTTAAATACCAGTAAACATTCATTAATATGCAAAGATCATAAACAAAATTAGGGTAATATTTTCGAACCCTAGTAGATGTAAGGTGAGAATGTAAATGATCATATACTACTATCATAATGAACATCTATCAAAATGAAAATGAACATTTACCAAAAATGAACATTTGTTCAGCAACCGTCTTCTCTGACAGAACCTTCGAAGTGTTCTCTTTGTTTCGTTTCTACAAAAATACCACCAAATATAGTAGATTTTAGTCTATTTTGCACAAAAATAAGTGTATTTATAGTAGATTTTGTTTTAGAATATCAAAATGCAAAAAAAATATAAAATCTAGGGTTTACACTCAAAATTCTACTTGAATGAACAAATTCTTACTCTTCTTTTTCGGAATTTAGTTGCAATTGACGAACTTCATCTCTAATGTTAGACATTTTTAGATGTTTTGATGTAATTTGCAGTAATTTTGAAGCAATTTGTAGTGAGTTTCATGCAAAATTTTGGTTTTGATGAGAGAGAATTTCATGAAAATGGGTTTGAAATGAAGGTTTTGGTTTTTTTTTTTCTTTTTTGTATATAAATGTGAGGAATGGGCAGTTACTTACATTTACCATGGTTAGTGGATGGTAACTGTATGGTTAGTGAGGTGAGGGTAAGGGTTTTATTGTAATTTGAGGGGTAGGTAGTTATGGCTACAAGGGGTGTAGCCATTAGGAATTACCATTATAAATAGCACCTCAGTTGTAATGGGCCAAACGTAAGCCTTTTGTAAGAAGTCCTTAAAATATTTGTATTGGGCCTTTTTTTTCCTTTCTTTTTTTTATTCTATTGCAACGGATGATAGGTTCAGCTTGTTTATGCAACAGATCTGTCCGTTGTAAATTCGCACACTCCAGTACTACTGTACTAGTACTCACGGCTCCACCAATATGGGTGTCACACAGCTCACATTACTCACTTCTCGTCACTAATTACTGATTTTTATTGTATCAATTTTTTTAACTAAAAATTAAGGCTCTGAAATTATTTTTACTGAATTGAAATTATTTTTGCTGAACTTAAATTATTTTTACTGGACTTAAATTAATTTTACTGAACTGAAATTATTTTTGCTGAAGTGAAATTATTTTTACATATTTTCTATTATAATTCTTCTTTAAAAAAACTGAATTTTACTAAACTGAAATTATTTTTACTGAACTGAAATTAATTTTACTGAACTAAAATTTTTTTTACTTAATATAATTTTTTTTAAGATGAATAGAACAGGGCCTAACTTTACAACTAAAATAGTTTTTAAAAAATTGAACTTGTTTTAAGAGAATATTATTATTTTAAGGTGTAGAGAACAAGGTCTAATAGTAATTTACCATTTGTATCAAACTACTAATTTTGGACGTTTCAAAGTAGTTGTTTCATTTCCTCTATGACAAAATTTTTCCCTCCACTTTCCCTATTGTTATCACTCTTCTATAAATCTGTACCATTTGTTCATGAAGCAAATAATTTGATAGAGGGTGTATCAAATAAAAAGAGTATTATTAAAATCTTGTAATGTGTTGTCCAATAAAAAAAAAGAAAAAAGAAGTGATGGCTCAACCCTAATACAAAAGGCACAAATTTTTATTGAAGTACAATCAATTTACAGGAACAAATTGATAACCATTACATGCTATTGCATGCATCATAAGACCATTTATTATCAATTTATCATGATATATAGCATACTAGTAGAGCACCCAAGAATCCGTTGAGACGACAGATCATACAGATAGAAGTTTGGCAACAGCAAACATGTTTGTAGAGCCATATAAGATACCGTATATTACTGCCAGAGAGAAACACAAGTCTTCATCAACCATCTGCCTTACCATTCTTCTAAGGTCGGAGTTGCTACTTCAATATTTTTCATGTCGGAAATGTTGGCTGGTTGAAGGGTACAAGCAATTAGTCACAAGCCATAGTTAACAGAAAAATTCGAGAAAGCAAGGGGATAAAAAAAACCATCATAAAGGAGTATTGATATGATTACACTCTTACGCAACTTAAGAAGAAATTTCAAAATTGAACCACATTAGATAGGTAACTAGAAAAATTGCTAAATAGCTGGTGCATGCAGCTTCTGTATTAGATGTTAATATGCTTCCTAATCAAGGTGACTATATGCCACCCCCCATAACCCCCCCAAAAAAATCAGTCCTTACCATACACCCTTATTACATAAGACTTGTTATAAAGGTCATAAAGCTCTTGAGATACCTTCAGAGAAAAAAAAACAAAAAAAAACAAAAAAAACTCCGTATATAAATATTTCGTTTGTAAATAAGTACGAGCAGTAAAAGCTTTAGAATCTAAAAGACATGCTAACAACTTGTTACAAAATCTGTCATCAGTCTGGATATAGCAACAGAACAAAATGATCCAAAATTAGCTACAATCCATGATCCATCAAGGCTCTATTGCAAAAGATAACTAAACCAAAATCTGTCATCAGTATGGTTTCAGCACATACCCCCCCCCTCCTAAAGGAAAATATCTAAAGCACTCATGAAAGCTACTATGTATATCATTTCAGATCAAGGGTCTTACAGGAAGAACTTCACTGCTACTGTTAGGGTAAGGACGTAAGGTAGCATAAAAGTACAACCAAACCGCTACCCTACATGGTTGTGAACGACAACTCTTGCCCTCGTTCTTGTTCTATCGAACCATATCACTAACAGATATATAAAATTGGACCCAAAAGAGAATAAAGAACGTTGCATAGAAAAAAGGAAAAATTCAGAACAATAATCCTAACTATGACCCCTCTTCCCATATTAATCCCAACTATAATTTATTCAAGTATAATCCAAATTTTAGCAAGTATCTTCTCAAAATGATCTGATTACTGGTTGAAACCTCCTGAGCAGGTTATCATGCTACGTGGCAGGTCATGATTAGTGCTTATTATTTATTTTTTAATTCATTGCTTCTCTGAGTTCTCTCTCATCTTCACCTGCCAGCCATGCGCCCTCTTCTCGCCATCAATAATTTCAAACCATTACAGCACCACCATGGTTAATTACTTAATTCCCACCATCACCTCCTTTAGTCCTTTCCAACTTTGGCCAGGCTCTTAGCCTACTTTTCATCATAACAATAACACATTCCCAATAATTTTCAAGTTTTCTTCAGAGTACTTTTCATATATTTTTGCAATTTCGGTTTTTTATTTTCCGCTTTAGGGGTTCTTTTAATTCATTTACCCATTTAATTTCACAATTATTCTATTTAATTCCTTTATTTAATTTTGGATCAAATAAAATATATAAGCCATACAGTATGAGTGAGAATGTGATTGTTGTAAAAGAGTCCAATTAGTCGGAAATAGGGTGGGAATTTTGCAGAAGTTTGTGGAAGAAGTGCATGCCGGTGGTCAACGTTGCTTCAGTATTTTTGATGACTTGATATGCTCTTGAGAAATTAAAGTTGAAATGTTGAAATTACAGTAGACATGGTGGATATGGTGATTTTGCTTGGTTGGGTACGTAGGGCTATTTTAGAGGGGTGATGGTGGGAAAGGTTATTAAACTTGTTATTGGTGGCTAGTACGGAGTAGGAATTAGGCAGAAAGTGAGAACGGAAAAAAAAAAAAAAACCAACTCAAAATAGAAATGTAACTTTAACAAGTTGCAGGTCACCTGGATCAATTTGGGAAGATACATCATATAGTTTGTATTATACTAGAATAATACATAGTTGGGATTAATTTGGGAAGAGTGGCCATAGTTGGGATTATTGTTGTGAATTTTTCCTAGAAAAAACAAGCAAACAACATACATGAATCACGATATCAACCTACATATTCTCTGATTAAAACTATGATTAGTGACTTAGTATTTGGTTTTTATTATTCTCACCATAGTGAACTTCAGGAGTTTTAGCAGCTGTGGCATCGACAATGACAGAGACAGAAGGGAAATCCAACGCTACTGCATCAAAGACTGTCTGTCTAATGCAATTAGGAGTTTGAATTCCTGTACAGATATACGGTCAAAAGCTTCAAAACTGTACTCTAAAAGAGAATTTTTGAAAATCTAAATCAAAACATTATGTTCTATTTTCACTTACCAACAAATACCAAGCTATCAATTCCAGAAGTTAGCAGAAATGAATGAAGGTTAGTAGCAAAAAAACCACTCATTCGTGTCTTAACCAACTTATAATCCCCTTTGTGTATCTCAAGTCCTTCAACAAGCTCAGCACCTTCATGTCCTTTTACAGTGGGTCCCCCCTTATCACTATACAAGTGCCTTCTGAAGAGTTCAACATCTCTCCCTAATGCATCATGCTCCCGAACAATCTGCAAGCCAATAATTATCTAGTCAGTTGTCACAAATTACATCCTAAGGACTTGTTCAACTCAATCTCTAAGAGAGAGAGAGAGAGAGAGAGAGAGAGGGGGGGGGGGGGGGACAGACAACAATGCTTTAAACAAGGTTGGCAATAGTGTAATCCTTTCTCATAAAGTGTAAGGGATCATAACCATTCATTGCTTTAACACTCAACAAGCTTAAACTTATTATGCCTGTCCTTAAAGGAAGACATATTGAGTGGGCAACTGATCAACAGAAACTAATTTTTCTTAATAATCAACATAATAGCTCCAAGTTTTATCATACTTCTTTCCCAGAATTCCATGAAACAAGTCCATAACAAGGCATCATCAGTCATTGATCCTCGGTCATATCCACTCATTGCAATTCATATCCACTCAGTCATATCCACTCATTGCAATTCATCGACAAACCCATATGGCTTATGGCCAATTGGCCATAAACTAATTAGCTGTTTGATTCACCGATATGTTACAAAGAGCAGTGCAGAAATTTACAACGCAAACAAGGTATAGCTTCTGACATGCTGATCTCTAACCCCTAGCCTGAATGTCCTGTTCGGTCAGACTAGCATCATGTTATGGATTGGGTCAATGGGGTCAACACCGCAAGTCAACCACCACTTTTGGTGTATACGAGGCACGCAAAGATGGGGCAGAAAGGGTCAAGTGAAGCCAGGAACAAGGAGCAACATGACAAAGCTAATCAAAGAGAAGTTTAGGAAGGGAAGCAGACTTCTTTAATCATGCTCTCTTTGGGTTTCTATTTTAGTTAATTATTATCACATGAATTATCTAGGCTTTGAGTATATGTATGGTAGTTTAGCAGTAGTGAACATCATCCAGAAATTTGTGAGTTGACATTAGAGAGACTTGTAGCCTCAAGCTACTAGAGAGAGTCATAACCTCAAGTTATGTTTATCCCTTTGTAATCGTTCTTCATTCAATCAAAAATACTCAAGCCTTCGATCTTATTTACATTCCATTGTTGATTATTCGTTAGTCGAATTCAGTACATAACACATCAAAAGGGAAATACTACATTGTAGTACTTCATCTGATACATAATTTTATAAGAAACAAAACTAAGGAGCTATGCCCAAAATTTACTAATCATCCGATAATCATTCTTCCACTTGGAATTATATTCATAGCAGTAGGCATCACTAGCTTAGAAGTATACACAGCTTTAATTTCCTAGAGTTTGACTAACCATCAATTACAGCTTACAAACTAACTTTAAAAACCACAAGACTATATGATATGAGATAACTATTCTCAAGTAAGCTTTCTTAAATTTACTTTTAAATCAGGCTATCCTGACTTTTCATTTCACCTCAAATACTCGAGTTTCTGATAAGGGAATGACATTTAGACACTTTATTTTGGAACAAAATCAAGCAAATTTTGCAGAAGATGGCCAAGTCTGAGTAGCACAACCACTTTATTCCTACCTTCTCAACAAATTCCAAATCAATTACAATATCCCCATTATTCATGTATCCCTTTCTCTGACAATTTCATATCAACAACAATTGCTAAATCTCAGCAAATATCCAAAAAATTAGAAATTTCATAAAAGCAAAAGATTAATTGATACCCAAACTACAAGCATGCCACGTTCTCTAGCAACTTCAACAGCTTTTATCACATTCGGAACGATTGCAGCAGCACCATCAACCAGCAACGGCGCACCAGGCAATACGAAATCATTCTGTTCATAATCATTCAATCTCAAAATTTAATAATCATTTTTAAATTTGAGAGAAAACCCAGGTTGAATTCTAACAAACAAGAAAAGGGTTGAGAGAAAAATTGAAAATTGGTGGGAAAAACTTACTTGCATATCGATGACAAGAAGAGCTGTTTTCTTCCATTTTTCAGCCATTTTTTGTTGCAATATCTAGCTGCGTTTTGTCTCTCAGACAATTTTACAAATAGATGGTGTGCAAGAGTTAGTCACCAAAGTGTTCACGATGGACAGTACAAAATTTTGTTTTTAGTGCAATTTTTTTTATTATCGTGATCATGATTGCTAGCTGCCTCGTAGTAAAGTAGAAGTCATTTTTACGAGTATTACTTTTGGGAGGACATATAAAATTAATGAATTATCAATCGGATTGTTCGGATTAGGTTTAGGTTTAGGTCATGATCAGGAATTGTTCGGGTTAGTTTTGATCTCGAGTCAAATTATTGTTAAATATAAGTACGGAGTGTATTTTTATTATGATATATTAATCCTTATAGGAGTATTGGTTGTCTGATCAATTTGGAGCATTCGAATTGCCTATCATCAAAATCGGGTTAAGTGATTTAAATATGAGGCTTGAATGGAAGCATGGAAGTCACTTATTAGATGATATTGCAGTATGAAATAGGCCTAAACATCTTACATAGTACAATATAGCAAATGCGGAGGTTTATACTTTTTTATATTGGAACAAGTATATTATTTACAACTAATCATATTTGTAACAAAGATATGTTATCTTAAGTGCATTATTACCCTATTATGTGCTTCTTTCGTCCCTAAACAATTGCTCTTTATATTAAAAATAGGCGTCCCTAAACAATTACATCATAACATATACGTCCATGTGCAAGAAATTCTCCATTTCATACATTCAAATACAAAGGGGCCAAACCGTTATGAGCTTCATCGAAGATCCTTCTTGTTGATACTTGATACATGGCCTTCTTCAATGAATTATTAGCAACACTAATCATCATTTGACAAAGTATAATGAAAATAACTGGTACAAACATCCACTTTTACAATGATAATAACTTGGGCACCAACAAACAAGTTTATTTTATTTAAACTTGCACACCTTTATTTTTGGGGTTGTCTTCTCTCAGGGCTCACTCACCAGCAACTCAGCAAGCATGTATATAGACTATAGCGCCAGATAGAATGGTGTGTATCAGAGCGCAACATCACGTTATATTTATAAACTTCTTCAAGCTCCAAACTTGCGCCATCGAATCATCAATTTGCCTTGCACCATTCGCTTATGGTTGGAGTGGCTACCCCAATATTTTTCATGTCAGAAATGTTGGCTGGTTCCAGAGTTAAAAATTTCATGTTAGTCATAAGCTATTATATAGTTAACAGTATTCAAAAGAAATCATTATATGATTACACACTCTAATAATCTAGCAAATTGAGGAGATACCGACTTACCGAGTATCAAAAATCAATCACAACAGAGATTTATTAATAAATATTTGCTGTATGCAAATTTTGTAAGTCACCCCAGATTCCATAAAAAGTAACTAATACCAATAAAGGTACCAAAATGTCACTCCTTATCTAAGATGCTCATAGTTCTGTTTAGTCTTACCCTATACAATTATCTTACATATAGCACTAAGGTTCTCATAGCTAATATTCGAGCAATCAAACTCTCAGGAATTCAGGATGACAGAACAGGACTCATACATCTTGTGTTTTTTTTTTTCCTGTCCTGAAGCTAACCAGAGCAGAAATTTTTCGCAGAGCTCCTCTTTTCATGTTCCCCTAAATCATATGTCCATTATGCTTGCAGACTAGCAGTAATAGACCATAGATAAAAGGAAACGAAACATACATAAAACACAATATCAAGCCGCTTATAAAGAATATAAACTGAACTACATATATGCAGCAAAGTTGGGATAAGATGATTAAGATCCATCATAATGGTTGATTGCAGGCATTGACGAATTATTTCATTTTCTTACCAGCATGAATCTCAGGAGTTTTGGCAGCTGTGGCATCAACAATGACGGAGACAGAAGGGTAGTCCAATGCTACTGCATCATAGACTGTTTGCCGGATGCAATTAGGAGTTTGAATTCCTAAACATAGAGATAGATGGTCATAATCTTTTATATTATATCTTGTACAAAGAGACATTACTGTTGAAAATCGAAATCAAAACATCAGGCTTATTATTCATTTACCAACAATGACCAAGCTATCAATTTCAGAAGCTAGCAGGACTGAATGAAGGTGTGTATTAAAGAATGCACTCATTCGCGTCTTAACCAACTTATAATCTCCTTCAAGTATCTCAAATCCTTCAACAAGCTCAGCACCTTCACTTCCCTTTATAGCAGAACCCCCTTTCTCACTTCTGTACAAGTGCCTTTTGAAGAATTCGACATCCCTCCCTGATGCATCATGCTCCCGTTGAGCCTGCAAACCAGCAGTTTTCAACTCACAAATCACATTTTTTTTCCTAGTAGGACTTGTTTCCACTAAATATCTTGATAAAAGATTGAAAGTAGTGCAATGCTATGTAACCCTTCTGGATCAAAATCATTTCTTGTTTTCACATACAAATAAATTGTTTTTGTTTTGTGTGTTTGAGTCGTGTTTTCCCTGTAAACGCGGACACTCCTATCTCTCAGCATAGCCAACCACAGCATGTATCCAACATATAATACTCGGACAAGTACTTGGTTTACACATATCTGACACAAAATTACTTGTTCATTCACTAAAATGAGTAACATCAATGTTAGATTGTGTTGCTTAATCAAATCAATCCATGTACACTAAGGGTCTGTTCTCTTCAGCTTAATTTTAGTTCAGTTCAGTTCCAATCAGTTCAGTTCCTAATTTCCTTATCTCGGATTCATTTCAGCTCTCTTTTCAGTTCAGTAAATCAGAACAGACCCTAACTCAATTGGATACTTTATAGTCAAAAAAATAAAACTTTGGAAGATTCATAATAAAACATACCTATTCATATATGCAAATGTAACAATGTGTTTTCTCTTACCCTTGTCCTAATTTTTTTTTATTAACCATTCGTGTAATCGTGTTTGTATTCGTTTCCATAGAACCTAGTAGTCAACATATACATTTTATGAGTGTAATTTGAGTTTGTTTTTGTTAGCCAGTAAAAATTGAATAGTTGTCAAAGATTTATAGTAAATTAGATCAAACCAAAATCAACTATAGATTACAAAATTACAATAAATTAATAGATTATAAGGTATGAAAACTTGCTGTATGACTTTTATTAAATGACTTAATCTCTATCTGCTATCTGATCTAATTTCAAAATTCGATTCGATCGGGTCAGTTTTATTAGATCCAACTAGCCCCTTGAATTTATTATCATAGAATAGCAAAAATACAGAATATTAAGAAGAAACAGAATACCCAAACTACAAGAATGCCACGCTCTCTTGCAACTTCCACAGCTTTTTTGACATTTGGAAGAATTGCTGGAGCTCCATCGATCAAAAACGGAGCCCCGGGTATTGCGAAATCTTTCTGCATTTAATACAATTAAACGATGTTTATAATTCAATATTAATTGTATAAAATCAATACCCATTTTTCAAATTTGAATTTTAAAAAGGACAAAAGTAATTGAAAATTGTTGGAAGAACTCACTCACTTGCATTCCTATGACAATGAGAGCTGTTTTCTTCCAATTTTCAGCCATTTCAATTTGTTGCTCAAAATCTTGATGGATTGATGTCTCCCACACACAAACGGATATACAAGTACTAGTAATTAATTAGTGAGAGAGTAGTGACCAACTTGTAGTTAGCGAAGTGTCTTACCAAAAAAAGTTACGAAGACACTTCGCTAACTACTCACTATAATTTCTTTCTTTTATTAGAGCATTGATTTTTAGATAGAGCATAAATGAGGATGACGATATGATGTACGCGGGATTTGTTCTCATGTTTTTGACAAGTTGATAAAAAGGTATTTTCGTCGTTAAATAGAAAGGTTACTTTTTCACTAATTTGTGAGTATCAATAAGGGTCTTATTTCTTTTCAAAATTTTAATTACATCAATTTTTTTAACAAAATTATTGTTACATTATCTTCAAATTTCTTTGATATTGTATTAGCTATACTTACACTCATTTTTATTTTTAATTTTATTTTCAATCTATTAAACTTTACTTCTTTTTTTGTTTATTCACCTTTAATCTAATAAACCCCAAATTTTAAGGCAGTGTTTCCTTCAATCCAAAATGTTTTTCTCACATAAACGTTTGAGAGAAGAGAAGGGAATTTAAAATTTAGAGTGTTAGGGTTGAAAATAAGGGGGAAAGGGTTATAATAAGTAAACTTAAGTTGAGTTTAGCAATATTTAATAATGATCAAAGTTGTGCATTGACACATATGCTAGTAAAAAATGATGCATATATTTTAGCGTTAGTGATTGATTTACGCTGTAGACCTAGTGTTGAACAGAAATTCAAGGTACATTTGAAACAAAATTAGAACCGAAATCTATTAAGAACCACAAGTTCTAAAACTGGAACCTGGGCAAGAGGTTCTGAATTTGAGTAGTGTTGGCAACAAGCTCCAGCTCAAGTTTTTCAATTTCTAAAACCAAGTACTCGTACCTAAAATCAAAACTAAAACCTAATAAAAGAATCACTTAAGCCCATATCAATACATCATACCCAATTCAAGCCCAATTACAAAGAAATAGAAATAAAAATAAACAAGTACAAAGTATGTATCAAATTTGCTGGACTACTACTTTTGATTTGTTATGTTTGCGAGTTCTAAGTGATGTGCAACTTTGTAAGTAGGGATTACAATTTAATCCGAGTTCGATCCGAAAGAAAAATTTCGATTCGAATCCGTTTAAAATTAGTGCAAATCCGAATCCGATAAAATAGATCCGAATCTGAATAGGAGGTGGATCGGACTTGGACCCTACGCAAAGTCCGACAGAGTTTGATCCGAGTCCGAATCCGAGAGTATAAGCATATGCTCTATAATTTGGCCGGGACAATTATTTGCTTGTTTTGTAGCAAAATTTTGTTATGTAACTTAGTTTATAATTTAAATATGTTGTGTTTATACTTTAATTAGTATGACAATACAAGCAATTATATGTATATGACATTACAAAAAATAAAAATAAAAAAATTCGGATCATTTCGGAGGTCCATATAAACGGATTGGATTCAGATCCGAAAATTACGAGTCAGATCGGATTCGAACTCGGATCCGAGTCCAAGGTCCGTTTACTAAACGGATCGGATTCGGATTTAGCCACATCCGACCCGAATCCGATCCGTTGCCATTCCTATTTGTAAGTAGGGTTGTTCACTGATCGATCCAAGCTAGACCAGGTCGGACCGAAGAGTGGAATTTGCTAGACCCTATTATGCATTTATGCTCATCCCTAATTTACACCATGAACGTGAGTTATTGAGTTTTAGAGGTTGATTCAGTATATATAAGGTCCTTTTCTTTTCTTTTCCAAAATTTGCATGGGGAAACTCTTTTTTCCTTTTTCTTTCTTCTTTCTTCTTTCTTCTTTCTTCTTTCTTCTTTCTTCTTTCTTCTTTCTTCTTTCTTTTGGCAGTGGGATTATTCCATAATCTTTGATTGTTGATTTCCTTAAAGTTTCCCCTCCTACTCTAGTATATGCCAAATATAAAACGTAATCATTTTAACATTAAGAATACGACGCAATATAAAACATCTTGAAAAAACTAATGAAAATAAATTTGTTTTCTTTCAAAAAGTAAGATCGAGGGGCACAAAATTCATAATGGATTCATATTCATTGTCAATGCCAGTGGCCACTACTAAAGGAAGGTGACATAATCATTTGCGGAGGGTGATTAGAAAAGCTCTATAATATAGATTTTATGAAATCGTAAAGACCATAACAAGAAAGGTCACGAGTCCATGACGGGAGATCCTAATCCCATCCCATCCCGTCGCAAATTGATTTGCAACGGGAAATCGGACTGACCTCCCGTCATTAGTTAAACCGTTTATTGCAATGGCAAGAGAAGGTTGTAAAATACCTTTCATACCCTAGTCTTGTTACTAGTACGTATTTTACATCATATGGTACACCCATGCACTTTTTAAAATGTTAATGCATATTATTGCATAACATCAAGAGCAATCAACCTTTTAATATTTAAGTAGAGTGAGTGCTCATGATGATATACCACTCCACTAATTAAATGCTATACATAATTTATAGCATATATAGTTTTTATATATTATATAAAGTATATAATATTATAACTAGTTAATAAGCATTATTTTATGATTGGTTAAAATCCTCCACCAAGTGATTGTGCCCAATAATCAGCTCCATTGTCACTCCCAACAAGCTGGGTGCAAGATATGGGTACCAAGCATAATCCTCTACTTTTCAAGTCCTTTGATCCATCTTTGTTGTCCTAATAACATATGATTTTTTTTTAAAAAAAAGAAAAAAAAATCATTAATAACAATAATACGTTGAGGAAATTTGCAAAAAAGGAAAAACAAAAATAGAAAAAGAAAGAAGTACATATAATCAAGGCAAGAATAACAAAAATAATCCACCACTTAATTAATCACTTATGTTACAACTTACATGCAAGTAGGTACACAGTACAGTCTTCAAAAAAAAAAAAAAAAAAAAAGTACGCGGTATACCTGGATGTTATTTTGCTCATTCGAACCATTTAAATGAGCAAAAATATTATTTTTTGCACTACTTTTTACATTTTTTTTTTTTTTGGAAAGTGTACTATTGTATTGTAGATATAGAAGAATGCAATGACCTTAACTATGACTTCTACACATTATAAAGCACTTTCATGTATGAATACGCTGTGATTAGGAACAATAATGAGTACGTAGAAAGATAACTAGAATGTTGGAAAGTGAAATAATAAGTCAATTCTATTTTAAAATCAAAGGTGAAATGATGGTGTTGAAGAACCAAACTAATTGAGTGCTCAAGTTTGTTGATAACTTCAATAATGATGATGACAACGAAGAAGATAATGATAACAACAATGATTATGTATTTGTTAATGAATGGATCATCATTTAAACTTAAGTTTAGCAGTAAGTTTATAAAAGGGAGTAATAATAATAATAATAAAGTTTACATGAATTAACATATAGTTTTAGAAGTACCTGATCTTGGTTTGCAGCTCCTCTTCTTTTTAGGCAGGAATCATTCAAAAGCTACAAAATAAAGAGTGAATGAAGAAAAATAAGATTTATAATTACTTTTTTTATTTTTAACAAGTTTCAAGTTTCAACCCACCCTTTTTTGATTCCAAACTTAGGCCAAAGATGTCTCTATTTAATCACATTTTGTAATTCAAAAGGGAACCCTAAAAAGCTGAGGACATTATTCTTTAAGTACATGCCTTTTTTTTTGTTAATAGAATAGTTCCTTCAAGATGCTTTCAAAAAAAAGAAAATTTTTCTACCTTGCTTTAATAAACGTTTATATTATGTACATGATGTTGTACGAATGTCAGATGTGATTCACAATAATTTATTATAAGATCGAGGTGACATTCCTATTTTAACAAGTGGCTCCTTACTTATAAGAATAACTTTTAAAGTCTCACAATAAGTTATATATCGAGTCTAGCTGCTGACTCACGTGAGGGTTTTTAAAATCTACATCATGCAAATACAATGAATTAAATAAAACTTACTTGTCCAGGATGATCTGGAAATAGACAATTTCTTTCTCCATGAACCTGTTCAGAAATATAAGGTTAAAAAAAAGGTCATATGTGCTTTAATACATTATATTGGAGAAAATAAAGTTAATCTTTTAGCTTATGCTGATAATTAAACATTATTTTAGTATTTAAATGTTTGGTTATAATTTAAACAAACTTGTCCAAAGTCTTATGAAAGTAACAGTTGATGTCAACCAGAGTTTGAATTTAATATTTAAGAGAATCAATCCAAAGTAATAAAGAACATAATCTCAACATAGTTAACAAATCGGATTAATATGAATCAAATGATACCCTATTGTTAGAAACATGTAATAATAACCACCCTAATCGAATTATTATTATTATTATTAGTTTTGACGAGTAATTGAATTATTATTAAGAAACATATTTTCCACTAATTATCATTATTCTTGTTCCATTTTATACTGTATACTGCAACATATAATGTCACAATGTAGGTCGATAAACATAATTTTACTTTATTAATAAATATTACGAGTTTTATTTGTTTGTACGGAGTATTATTTACCATATAAGTCTAATTATGTTCTTAAGAAATACAACTAAAATTTTTGAATACATCTATTAATACATTATACGGAGTATTATTTTGAAGACTTTGAATAAAAGAATTATTAGGTCGAAAAATTATACTTTGTATAAACTTACAGTATGTTGGTTCTTAGTCGTGGCATTATTATTACCCAAGTAAGGAGAACTAAGGGCCTGCATAAATCAATCATATAAAACAAGGTCAGTTACCAATAATATGAAAATGAATTATAATAATTTGATGATTTTGGAAAAAAGAAAAAGAATGTTTAGAAAGCGAGAATATAGCCCAAATGTGGGTCTTATTAAAGTACTTCTGACAACTGCATGCTTCACTGATATTTTAGTTCCTTAAAGGCTGAGTTACATTTATGCACACATGTTTTTGTTTTTTTTTTTTTAAAATAAAAGTATGAATTATTTATCCGTTCTTTAATTATTGTAATAATTAGAGCTTTATATGTTATTTATATCTTTATTTAAGTCATTATTATAAATAAAAATCATAAATTGTCACATAATTATGTGTAAAATTGTAAATAGTATAAATATTCGATTATAGTGATTTTTTTAAAACGGAAGAAATTAATTTATAAAATAAATACTCCGTAAATAAAATAAAAAGGAAAGGAATTAAACATCACCTCAATTTGACCTTGAAGGAATCTGATATACCCAATTGCTTCTAACAACACTGAAGCTGTGTCAGTCTGCAAAAAGAGATTAAACCCACACACCACAAATACCCCATTTCTCTTTTTTTAGTGAACACAATAACAATAATTAAAAGTTCAAAAGAAATTTTATATGATCATAATATAATCATATGTTTGAACTGAAGTGAGTGATTACTAATGGATAATACGGAGTAAAAAAATATAAGTTTTAATTTTATAAAATTGAGTAATGTTTGTACATATAGTGTTACCTAATTTGCTAATTCTCCCCAAATTATGATCCAAATTGTATGCGTGGATTAGTATAGTGTAGAAAAATTTTTGAACTATTTTCACAAGGTTAGATTAAGAATTGTGTTCCCATACTCGTTTACATGAAACAGAGCGTACTGCATATTAGGTAACACCGTACGTACTGACTCAGTAAGTCTAAGATTATTAGCAAGTGAAACAAAACAAGTGTATCAAAATTATTGAGATTGTATGTTTTATATTTAAAATCAAAAGTTATGTACTTATGTATGCTTATTAATTTACTTTTTTTGAAAATAAAATAATAGAAAAAATGGTGTTTATATATGAATTATACATCTTGTGAAAATTACTGTAATAAAATAGGAGTGAGGTGGTCTTACCTTTCCAAAGGGAGAAACAAGCTGGTGAAGGGCTGTTATTCTATCTCCTAGCTTCTCTTTCCTCACCTACATATGTATAGCAACCATATATATATAGAACATAAATAATATGAAGCTATTGATTTTTTCTTAAATAATTATTACTAGTGGTATTTATGAGTGATGAAAAGTTAATAAAATAAAATCTAAGGCACACATCCATGAGAAGTTTGAATGAAAAATTTTAAATTATTGCACTTAAAGGGGGGGGGGGGGGAGGAAACTCCTATTGTAGTTTAAGAAGTTTAATTCTATAGAAAAATCCTCAAAACAACACATTAATTAATCAAGCATATACTTTAAGTAAACATTAGAGTGTATGTATGTACTCGTGCTTATGCACAAGATATTAAAATAGGTTCATTATTTCAAATTAAATTTATTAGTTGTCAGACTTGACTTAGAGATAATTAACTCGGAAATTAAAGAAAGGAGTCTTAATGTCAAACTTTTGAAGAATTTGATGGGAGAGTGATGAAAGAAAATAAGAAGTGATGATCTACCTTGAGAGGTGGGGTGGAAGAGGATTGGACCCTAGGCTTCTTAGGTGGTACACCTCCAGTAGTAGTAGCTGTGCTATTACACTGCCAACAACAAAATTCAAACATAACATCATAATTTAGTTTACTCAATAAAATTACACAAATAATAATTCTACAAGTAATAATTAAACAGCATAAAACTAAGGCTAATTAATAACAGTACATACCTCAGAATTAGTAGTATGATTATCTGCATGTTGATGACTTTCAGCTTGTTGTAATGACCTTTTATTATTATTATTAGTAGAAAAGTCCAACATATTACTACTATTACTATTGTTGTTGTTGTTGTTGTTATTGTTGTTACTACTACTTAAGCTGGTAATACAGGATTTAGGTGATAATGAAGCTGGCATGATCTGATGATGACTCCAACCTGCTGCTGCCTGGGCGGCCACGGCCGCGGCCGCCCTATTACTAACTCCTACTGATAGTTGTTCTTGCTCTTCATGAAATTGATTTGCATACAACTGCAAGTTGTTGTTGTTGTTGTTGTTGTTGCTGTTGTTGTTACTTTGACTACTAACTTCTTCCTTCACATCAATTTGTACTCCTCCATTATTAACCACCCTTGTTGCTTCAAATTCACTTTGACTAAACCTTTCCTCTTGTTCATTAGACAATCCTCCCCTACAACCCAAAAAAAAAAAAAATGATATTTTGCTATTATATACTATAGAATAATGAAATTCAATATAAAGATAGTAAGTTTTCTAATTTTTATTCAGGTTTTAGGTTTGAGAGAAGACTGTCTTAACTTCTGTATACCTTTCATTATCAGCGGAGAAAAAAGAAACATGCACATACTAAAAAAGCTTACTTACAAAAGGAGTTGGCTCCAAGAATGAGGAAAGTCATGGGCATGAGGCTCATTCGAGGCGATAAAAGGAAGCAATGAGGAAGACGAAGAAGAAGAAGAAGTTCCAGCACCATGAAGAAATTGAAGAGGTAAAAGAGAGTTACTATTATTAGAAGGTTGATGATGATGATGTTGTGTTTGGGAGATGAGCAAATTATCTTCATGTTGATGATCACTTGCTGAAGAAGATGACCTTAAGTTACTATGCATGCTCCACCAATTACTAGGGTTTCCTGCCATCATAATTTATTCTTCCCACCTAACTTTCTCCAAAAACAAAATCACTAACTTCTTCAAATCTTCTTATATCCCTCAAAACAAACCAATAATAATATAAACATAGAAATAGATGAAAAATATTTAATTTCTTTGTTTGGAAGTACTCCTTAATTGTATTCTCTCTTCCTAATTAATCTACTAATTACTTTAAAATATAGGCTCTTGCATAATTAGCTTAGATATAGCTTTCCTTATTTATGCACAAAACCTTTGCTTTTATTTCAAATGTGATTGAATTGAAGAAACCCAAGTCATATAATCTTCTTTGAAAGAATTATTATTATTATTATTATTGTGTTTTTTATTTTTTTGGTGAAGGGGGTTGTTATTATTTGTTTTTGTGGGGCTAAGTAGAGGAAGCTTTTGTATTTTTTTGCTTTCTCTATCTTTCTCTATATATGTCTAACCTCTCCTTTTAATTTGTTTATTATCTAAGTCTTTTTATTCTTACTTTTACTTTATGGAAAAAAAAAAAGAAAGTGGGGGCAGGAAAAGGTGGTGGTCTTAGCTTTAAGACAAAAAACTAGTGGTGCTTTGGGACTACTCTTTCTCTTAATAATTTAATCCTTGGTTTGTGATTAATTAGTTGATTAATTAATTAAATAGTTAATAAAATTTTATTTAATTTTTTTTAATTATTAGGAAATTTACTAAGGTGTACATGGAAGAACAAGCTCATCATGTGTAATGTGGAAAACTATAGAATAAAGATTTCGTAATTTATTCTGACACACAGTACAAGCTAGATATTTATACTCATTTCACGAGTAACTAAGAATTTTACTTACATAGAAATATACATCATAATATATACCTAACGTTGATAATACCAATTTGGTATGAGGTTGGAAGAAAAACGTAATAATATTAAACTGTCGTTGATTATTCTCACTTAATTTAGATAACAATATACTATAATTAGGGTTACATATTAGATTGAGGTTAAATAGGTCTCTTTTTCTATACCCTCAATAATTCAGTGAAAACGATTAAAAGTAGAGAATCCAAGTAAACTACAACAACTTTGATGTGATATGTATTAATCTTTTGATAATAGTATTTTTAATTTGGGAAATTATTCATACAGTTGTTGAGAAAGTTATGTGGTGCTATATATATGTATATGTGAAAGACAAAGTCATAGAGTACATTTGTAGTACTCCATTACTCGTAGAGTCGTAGAGCTTTATCAGCCAATCACAAATTAAAATCGAAAAAGTAAATTTAAGAACTACTACTACTTCTAGTTTACTACTTGGTATTCATGCACTGTTTAGGGACATGGGAAAGGGGGAAAATAAAGGATTAAAGGGATATATATATATATATTTTTTTTTTTGGGATACCGTATTTTATACAAGTAGCTAAGAAAAAGGTCTCATTCTATTCACATTATTTCTATTAAATTAGTTTCATGAAAAATAAAATCAAATAAGTTCCATAAGTTACTTCAGTTTAATTTACAACTCAAATAAGTTTTAATGACGTTATATAAGTTCAAATTTTGTAGGATCAGGTATGTTCAAATAAGCAAAAATGAAGTGAATCAAATACATACCTTAAATATGTATTACGGAGTATTATTATTTATTTTATTGTGAGATGAGAAGGTTTTTGTAATGAATTCATACAAATATGCAAGAAGAAAATTTTCTATTCCAAAGGAGTAGAATTTTCTTTGTTAAATTTACATTTACCTAGGAATGTTACAATCTCACTAAGGTTGTGACAAGATTTTATTTGACGGTTTGAAACCACCCATACAAGTATACAACTATGGTGATTTGAATCACAATTCAGTGATTCACAAATAACACACGTGTAGAAGAATATTCTTTCATGTAGTTCTTTTTGGTAAAAGTTTTGAAATCTTCAAATTTAATCTCTTAAATGCTTCGTAATAAATTTTTAAAGTAGCTATTTTTCCATATATATGATCCTAAACTGAAACTCACACCCTTGCAATTTCATTGACTAGTTTTTATGGATCAAAACACTTAAAAGTGAGGAAAGAAGTTAAGAGATCTTCACCTCCTACCACTCGTAGTTGGTGGAAGGAATTGACTTTGTAATTATAAGATTACAAGGTAATAAATCCCTAACCACTTAGCTTAAGAGCCTGTTCTCTTCAGCTTAATTTCAGTTCACTTCAGTTGAATTCCTAATTTCCTTCTCTCATAATATTCAATTCAACTCTATTTAGTTCAGTTCAGCTCTAATCAATTTGATTCAGTTCAGCTTAGTTCAATAAATCAAAACATGTCCTAATTTAAAGAATAGATGTAAGATTCATACTATGTATGAGATATATGCCGCCATGCTTTCTAAAATATACATATATTTGACTTTGAAGACAAGCCTACATAGTTTAAGGGTCACCTTGAACATCATTATTCATATTAATTTGCTAAAAGAAAAGTAATCACTAACTATAGAGCAATACTTTTGAATTTATAATTTGATTTGATTTTGAAACACCAAGTAATAGTGAAGCCATTTACTCGATCTCCTGGGATTTATGACACGTACATGTACTTTCGTCACACTATAAAATATGTTTACGAAAAAAAGTGCAAATTGGTCGAAAGTGAATCGTTTGATATGTGACAAAGTTTATGTTAGTGGATTATACAATTATTTATCAATCAAGTGCCAAATAACAATATTAAATTTTTTGGAAACATAGTTATTACTTAAACATAAATAAACTCAATACCCTAAAAATCAAGAATATCGACTTTGTTAACAAAGAATCTAGTAAATGATGAGACAACTAGTGTGTTCTCGGGATATAAGGATTCTCTCAATTTCTATTACGACAAATTTTACAATTATGAAGGAATGTTTTGTAGAAGCATAATTAATTAGTCTAAGTATCTAACATTAATAAAATCAAGCACAAAAATATCACAACTATCAACTTTGTTAACAAAGAGTATAGTGAATTAAGACTATCACTAATTTATAAAGATATAAGCTACGTAGTACTTCAATTTATTTTGACATCTAACAAGTTAGTATGGTATTTGTGTCAATAGGTCTTTCTTATCGTCTCCTTTCATGCATTCTCAACTGTTGATCTATTAAATAAACAACTTATTTACATTACAAATAAAATATATACAGAGGATCCCAACTCGATATAACATCAATCGAGCATCACTATCACCCACAATATCAAACAATACTTTGGTTCATTAAACTATTTATCAAACACCATTGATTAATCAAAAGGTACTAGCTACAATATATATATATACCCTCCTAATCATCCTCCCTATATATCTTTGTCGATATTCTAATCAACCATATATTACACTCATGAGAGTTATAGACGAATGCATGTAGAAGGAATAATCACAGAATAAATTTGGGACACTAGCTTAAGCTACCTACGGAATATGTACCAAAACTTAACCGTTGTTCGTTTTAACGATTTTTATTGACATCTATGAAGTACTTGATAGACTAAGACGTTTTGATCTCTCTTAGATGCTTGTACACAAGTTACATGACAAACTATCTATGAGATTTTTATTTTTTCTTTGTAGCACCTAGTAGGTAAGAAGAACTATCCATTAGATTGTGGCTTAAGGAGATATACATGGAGAAATAAATGTATTGAATACTTCATAAAGAGATTACGACCATATATATACAACTCAGATTTGAAATTGAACTCAACTCGATTTTTATGAATCATATTAAACATGACATTCGTCCTAAAAGGTAAACGAGCTGACATAATTCAAACTGGACTTGACCTACCCAAACCCTAAACTTGATCTAATGGTTATGTTTACTAGACAGATTGAACTAAGGTTTGACCTGAGACTTGAGAACTAATTTAATTTGACGTCAACCCGACCTGAATACTCAAATTGACAGCTCTCCCTCAATTTCAATGTTGGAAGATTGATTCCTTACTAGAAGGCCAACACTTTGTTGGTACTACTACAAGATAGGTTTCTTTGTAGGAAGTTGTTAGCATTTTTAATTATTAAGGGCATGTTCTGTTCAGCTTAATTTCAGTTCAATTCAGCTTAGCTCCAATCAATTCAGTTCACTTCCTAATTTCCTTCTCTCATAAACAATTCATTTCAGCTCTATTCAGTTCAACTCCAATCAATTCAGCTCAATTCAGTTCAATTCCGTTCCTAATTTCCTTCTCTCATAAATAATTCATTTCAGCTCTATTCAATTCAATTCATTCCAGTCCCAATAAGTTCAATTCAGTTGTTTTTAGTAAATCGGAACATGCCCTAAGTTTATATACGTGTTTATTATTTTATTCGAATTGTTATGCATTTGGTTTTATGTAAATTGTATATGTTCTATGACTCTTTGATTAATGAAATAATTTTACATTCAAAAGATGGGACAACGATTAATCATCATGGAATAATCTTTAACTTAAGAAATTGTTAAAATGATTATCTTCATTATCCAATCATACTTCCAACTAGACTAGAAGTAGAGAGTGGCCCTCATGGATTCGCGGTAACATATTATTTCCACACATTTAATTAAATAAAAAGAGCTTTAAAAAAATGTTTTAGAGCAAATGATGTTTGTAGTATCCATGAAAAGAAGGAATTGAGAATAAAAATAAAAGAAAGTCACAATCCAAAACTCAAGGAAAAAGGGTAAATAATTGGGACACACAAATAGCAAGACGAAACGCAAAAAACGCTTAAAGTTTCAAAAACAAAGTTGCATACTTGCATAGGGATCATTAAACAAAAAACACCAGCAAATCATATCCACAAAATCTATTTTTAAGAAAGCCTAAAAAGATTTGAAATAACAATCATAAAGCATTGATCAATCTGATGAATGATTGCTTCCACTTGCTCTTTTTCAAACGTGTGTTTCTTTTTTTAAATTGACACTTATACATATTTTAATTAGCGTACAATCAATGAAGGTGTCAATCAGGTTATTCGGATTGTATTTAAGTTTAAGTCAATTTAGTTATGCGGTTATTCTAATACTTCATATAAGCTTAGCACTCACTGCAACAAAATAAACCAATTTTCGGTCACATATTTTGGGCTGGATAAGTCAATTTCAGTTCATGTCAAAATTTGGTCACGTAAGTTCAAAATTAATTTTGAAGTATAATACTTTTAAAAAGTGGACTCATCACGAAATAAGTGTTCAAAGATGTTCCCTTACTAGTTAAGGAAAATTCAAAGAGGACTGCTGATAATCCTTCTTGGACCGTCCTTAAATTATTAAGCTGCTATGTAACTGTTCTTCATGTGAATGTACAAGAGTTTGTCACTTTGTCATTTTTCACGTTCTATCATATATTGTACAACTAAGCTTAAATCTTAAAAAGGAATAGCCTAACTCATCCCTTCCAATGAAGTACAAATTCATTCAATTAGTAAGAAAGCATAACAATCAGAGCTAAAATCCACCAGAACTCTGCTCAAACCGTTTTTTTATCATATAATGATCAGAGGTTCACTAAGCAGAATTGCGCATCCAGCAGATGGTGCATCAAGTGTGAACAATCAACCAAACACGTTACAAGGATGGCTAATACTTTGTACAATAAATTTTACTAAGACCCGAAATTAGAGGAGAATGAATGGAAAATACACCAAATAAATCATTAAAATATAGATATAATAACAAGTGGCAAAAACTATTGTAACTTTGGATGCCCTAGATAGAGACATGTGCTTTTCATGATAGAAACAAGACAACTTAATATCATCCAAATCATCCAAGGATTGGATCACCAAGGAAAAACAATCCCAGCTAATTGACCCGGAGTATAATCATGTACAACGTAACAATTAAGTAAAGGCAATCAATATTAATTCCTCAACCTAATCGCAATCGCAATCAGACATAACCAAGTCAAAAAATCGTACATGAAAATCAACAGCAGTCAATAAAAATAATCATATTCGCCTTTACATAATTATATTAGCCTGTAAACCAGCAGCTTGTGAAGACATTGAAAGACAATACACTAACTTCAATTTTGGCTTAAACTTCCCTGCCCCCACATTGAAGACCTTTTGCATTATTGGACGACAAAGGACATATTTTTGCCTCTTAAAATCAGACAAAAATATCTGTAAATGTTACTCCATACTCCGTATTATACAAGAGTGGAAATTCAATCAAGGTACCAAGAATAAGATGTGAAACGTTGCCAAAGAATGAGATAGTATATAATTTGAGTGTATCCACAGAAAAACTTGCCTTCCTGTGTATGGTATCGGTTTCTGGAACGCAATTTTAATAATGCCCCGTATTTTGAATTTGAATTCCTTTCAATGAGCACATCATTTTTTAGCAGAGTTCTCATCCACAGAGCCACCTAGTCGTTGCATGGCTGTAACTGGCTGGCTGCATCGCGTACATCTGAAAGATGGAGAAGCAGCACACCGTGTTCTAAGGCAGTAATAACAGTATCTGCAAGAAAAATTAGTGCAAAAACATCAGATAGTGTGGCCAAATAAGCGCATTGGGATAAAAGAGCCAGTTCTTAGAGCAGTTCTGAATGTAATATAACAGGAGAGCTTTTGTTCTATTTGATCCCCTCGAAAACAAAAATTCTAGTCCCATCTCTAGATGGAGAGGTAGAAGTTATTTCCGCTAACTTTAATATGGAAAATTTAGATGGGTTGAAAAGACAGAGATGGTGAATTGAATGGGAGTAGATGGGTGAAGGTTTAAATAAGCAGCCTGCTCAACAGAAGTCGATTAATCTATTCATGAGTTTGACCTTTGGTGAGCCACTGGTGGCTGTGCTGGGTTCTGGTTCGGTGGGTTTGATTTTCTGCTATTGAACTTAAAGGATGAGCGGGAAAGAAGAGAAGTACAACATATTCTCAGAAATATGCACACTTAATGCCCAGAAAATAATAAGATATGCAGTTACGAACAAATAAGAAGCATATAGAGAGGGAAAACAAAAAAATGGATGTCCTTTTTTTACATACTGAGATCATCCAGCCATCCATCCTAAGGAAGGGAAAGGGTTATGGTAATCCTTTAACCCTTAGGCTCTGTCTGACCAATGCAGTAAGGTTAAATAATTACATAAATATGGTTTATGCCAAGTCAGCACTATTAATGACAGTCTCAGATTGGATGCATAGGTGTTTGATATGTTCAAAGATTGAATTGTTATTACCGTATTTTTCATTAGGTAGGATTATCTCTGTCGGATTAGAATTAATCAATTTTTCCCAAGAAAGAAAGATGGAAAAGAAGATAAATACAAAAGAAATTAGTTAAATCTCCTTTTAGCCCTTTCTTTTTGACTAGTTACCTACGTTGAGCCCCCACCTTCCAAAAAGAAGGCAATAAAAATAGTTTTCTTATGCCTAGTCACACTGCATCTTGCCTAAGACAAAATATATATCTTCTACTTCTTTGGCCAAGGAAAGAAGCGTAGTAACTCAAATCAAGAATTTACTTGCCAGAAGATGAATTCTTCAATAACAACCTCTAATTGTCACTAAAGGCATTCAAATCACAGCATACCACCTTCAATCGTCAGTATAGAGTTAAACACACGGCAAACAACCACTGAAATTAATCCGCAATCCTTTGTACTCCGTACATTTCCAATTTTTCCATTTTGCTCGAAATTTATATACACCCGAGTACAAGGTACACCCAAGGTATTTTCTAGCTCATTTAATATTCTTTGCTCATTTGTAAATCTTAAAATGAGCAAAAATATCAAATGAGCAAAAAATTAATCATGAGTGCACCTACCTCTATGTGTATCCGGTGTATATAAAAGGTGTTGCTTGTTTTTATATTAATTTTCTTATTTACTACTACCTCCATTTCTTTTTAGTTGACACGTATTCCTTTTTAGGAAGTTTTTTTTAGTTCATACGTTTCCTTTTGGGGTAACTTTTTAACCTTGCATTTACAAGGTACCCCACTTGCTTTTTCATTCTCTCTCTCTCTCCTCTCCTTAATATATGTGCCTAAATCAAACGCGTCAACTAAATAGAAGCGGAGAAGTATAAAACAGGCACAATGTGGAAATGAGTGAGGATGATCTTTAATCTTCAGCCATTTTTCTGCAGTGAAATGTTACACTTTACAAAAGCAAATAACAGCTGTTGGGTTGGGGATATTCAAGAAAGGATTATTTTTTAAAAAAATAAATGAATAAAAACCCCTTTATTCCCCCATGTATCCAACTAAATATATGGTTGCTGTTTTCACAATTCCCTTTCCCCTTTTTCTTTTTCAAGCTCCCCTTAAACCCCTCATACTTGATTACCCACCCCAACATGAGACTTCAGAGTTCCCCCATTTTCCTCTGCGGTTTTCCTCTACTCCACAGCCGAAATATCCATCTCCAACAGCCAAATCCATCCCTAACAAATTCGCCACCGCCACAAACATTGTCCTCACCACCACGACTTCAATCTAACCCAAACATTCAACTGCGAGAAAGTTGGCAAAAAAAAAAATTTGACGTGAGAGAAAGAAAGTAAGAAACAAAGTTCTTTGCTAGATTTGACTCATTAGTTTCCAACAGATCAACTCTCGCCCCGAGATCTAAGAATCCAATATGCAATCTCCTGACTCCAACACTTGACTATCCCGGTCTGAAAATCCCATTATCTCAACACCAGTCTATTCCAATTTCATACATACAATGAAATTCGAGGAGATGATGAGTTAAGGTGGACGGGAGGGGAGAGGAAGCTTGTTATTAATATTGGAAGGGAAAAAGGTCAAAGAACATGGATGAAGGTGGATTGCATAGATGATACCTAGTCGCCTACAGTTAATGCTGGAAAGAGAACAAGTGTGTTTGGGTAATGTTATTTCATATACCATGATGTATCAAACTCTTTATTCAATTTCCCTTTTCTTGATTATTCCCTGTATTTTCCATTCATATTCCTTTCCTTTTCTCAAATTTAAACCAAACTGCCCCACGTATTCTATTATATATCAGAAATGGAGACAGAGCAATTGGACAGGATTTATAAGAAAAGAACACCTACTAAGACTCCAACTTCTTTTCTTTCACCACGGGCACCTTAACAGTTAATCATTAATCTCCCCATCCACCTGCACAACAACACTCTGCGGCAGCCAACTGCCAAACAATAATCAACGCAATCTAAATGCTGGAAGGACCTCCCATTCCAGCATCACTAACATACTATAACCTAACTCTCCAGTCTTTCATCCCAGTAAAGCATGCTAGTGAATCCTCCTAAGTCCCAACTTACCAAGACAACTTGTCACCTTCCCTTAAATATAATACAGCTCCCCAGTCCCGAGTCCTGACAACCCTACTTAAAAAAGAATAAAAAGATATTTTGCTAGTTAAAAGTTTCGCCACGAACTAAGAGAATCAGGGTTCGATGTTTAACAGGCCATTGGGCCTCTCTTCAATACCATTCCTACTTAATAATTAGTTTAACACAAGCAGCTATTTGCAGAAAAAAGAAACTTATCTACTGCCCATCATGATTTTAAAACAAAATCACATTTTGAACTCCCATTAACACAAGTGAATGTATAGGGTGTATACATATTACATATAGCATTCGCCGTAAATAATCTCCAAACTCATCTGATAGGAAGAAACCAAATTTGAATTGAGCACTAAGCCTAAGAACAGTTGTTAATTAATAAAAATTATTAAAAAAAACAGATACTTGGATGGAAAAGGAGGAGAGCGAGTGAAAAATAGATATGATGGATGGAATTCAGAGATAGGCAAATTAATATTAAATTATAGGCTTAAACAATATACAGAAGCCATTTTATTCAAGAACCTCTTGGGAGTCGAAACTTCCAGTCTTTGAACATTATCAATTAATCCCCAATCATTTATAATACTTTTTTTCTTCAGATAGACTTTGTTTCAGAGAAATATTGATTGCCTCCTATACTCTGATCCTCATTTTCAAATTCAACCCATTTCCTGCTGCCACCATAAACTTTCATTCATTTCCTTCTCTAGCAACACAAACAGCTAGGAAACCCAAATTTTCTTCTTTGTCAACCATCATACAATTCACTTCTGTTAGTTATGAATAATTCAATATAACTGCACCCCCAAATTCATTTGACTAAGCAAAAAAATGTGGGCGAGAGAACTTTCTGAGCCCTTCGCCGAGGACAACAGATGAACAACTATCACCCTGGATCACCAGGTCTACAACAAGAATGAATCAATGCTAGGCCCAACTAGTTATGAGGTCTTCCCTTGAAGTATCACAAAGGGTATTACAGATGCATTGTACATTGCAACGTGTCACATAAGCATTAGGATGATTGACCCCACAGACTTAACACTTTCGAAAGCAACATCCTCATTTGTATTTAGTCATTCATCAATACAATTCCATATGAGTTCTTGATCTGGTACTTAAGCATAGTGAACCAAACAACCAGAAAAGTGAAGAGAGAACAAAAGGGAAAAGCTGTGAGCAGTCACGCACCTGTGTCTACAAGGTAAAGCAAGAAATGGAATGCTTGGGCTACCTTGGCAAATGGGGCAGGCAATTTCATCAGTAGCAGAATCTGAAGATTTGTCCTTGGAGAACGGACGAAATAAATTTTTCAATGATGCAGAGTTCAGAAGAGGAAGAAGTAACAATAGCATTTCCTGCATGAATAAAGATAATATCATATAAAAGGTGAGAGATTTGTAAGCATATTTTTGGGAAAAAAAAAAAAACCAAAAGGCCATATTATGTGTGTAGCAAAAAATAAAAGACATAATACAAAGTTACAATAGACTTTGAAGAAAAGCATGAAGGACAAAGAAATCCAATAATGCAATATTAAGACTCCTTTGTTCTTTCCAACTTTCAACAACATTCACACACTATCTAGCCTAACTAGTATGAGTAGTATCTACTGCAATTATACCTTGCTAGGATTCAACAGTCAAACTTACTGAAACATATATCGATTATGTCCCTAAAGCATGGGAAAGACCAAACTCACCCCCAACCCCCGTGGGAAATATCGGCACTGAATTTGCCAACACATTCTGAAACCAGTGTGATTATGCAGTTTAAGTACAGAAAAGAACATTTCCAGATAAGATGAGCGGAGACGAGGTCATCCCTACAAACACCTCCGGACCCCCCCCCCACACACACACACACACAACGCCAACAAAAAGGATTCGACAATTAAATATTCTAAATATAATTTCTAAACTATTATACATTTTGGATAATTATCCAGCATTAGTTATAAGAAAATTAACTCTAATTATTTTTATTTTTTAGAGAAACCAAGGGTTTTTATATAAATTCAAGGAATGAGATAAATAAAATTAGATAAGCTCTTATAACTATTCCTAATTTAGACGTATCTTCTTTATTGCATGACTCTCTTGCATCCCATTTCCTGATCAATTTTCTCTCATATCCTTTCCATGGAGTTCATCTCAAAAATACAATTAAAGATTACAAGTTTCAGGTCCTAGTGAATCAGCACCTTAACTTTCAGATCCAGTTTTTTTTTTTAATTATAATAAAATAGATTAAAAAAATAAAATAAAATAAAAATAAAAAAAGAAGAAGAAGAAGAAGAAGAAGAAGAAGAAAGTTCTACAAAAAAAAAAAAAAATACCGAGAACTCATTCCACACTAACTGCCGATTCATGTACTCAAAGCTGACAGCGCGATTCATGTTGGGGCTTCCATACACAAGCCTAGCTCTGAGAGATCTCTCAATCAAACTCCTATATCTGCATCACGACATATAAAACAGCAATCAATAATAAACCAATAGTGTTCCCATTATAAATCCAGCATACTACAAATTCTAAGGCAAAAACAGAGCAAAAGGTGTCATTACACTTCCATAGTTTCATCTTCACATCCACTACTTCTATGTTAGATCACAGAAATCAACAGTGTCAATTTTTTTGAACTGGTCAAATTATCACTCAAAATTTCGTCTTAATCAACACATATATGAGAGCAAACAAATGCAGGTGAACTTAAAACTTACTTTCCAGTTAAGAGAAATATAAGCAGGTTGCCAAATGATGCAGCCTTATAGATTCCTTCTACATGCTGCAACAAAAGCCATGCCCGTTGTCCCAATGTCCTCTGGAAGAATTAAACAAGAAACTATAAATAATCCATGAAGCACATTATCTCAGACAGAAATTTAAATGATTCACAGTAAAACAAATGAACATGTAGCAGAAAAGAACGAATACTTGCTCAGAGTCTCCCCATCTACGGAAAGCAGAAAAAGACTGCAAACGTGTCCAGATGTACTGACCCCCTACTGTAGCAATACAGTACCATAACTTTTGAGCAGGCGTAAGCCCAGGACCTTCCAAGCCTGTTCTCACTGCAGGTAGCACATCTATTAGAGAGGATAAGAAAGGAATTCGGTAGCCTTTGGAGAATGTCAATAACGCTATGTCCAACTGGAGAGGAAGAAAAGCAGGATAAATAAATTTCTACTAGTGAATGATGACTAAGCCTTTATGCAAGTGTCCAAATTACACAATGCTCATGGAGGCTACAAGCCTACAACAACAACAACAACAAAGCCTTAGTCTCAAAATGATTTGAGGTCGGCTAACATGAATCGTCATAAGGAACCGTTTGATATAGAATAAAGGACACAACAAGATAATCAGTTAACAAGTTTTAAACTAAAGGTGTGTAAAGTGATAAAAAGAAAGAGCATCCAAGTAAAATTTAAGAGTTCCAAAAGAGAAACAAGAAATTCAAGAAAGTTTTAAAGGAGTGGTAAAACGTGCGAGTTGAAAACATAAAGGTTTGAAAAAACGTTAGCAAAACATGGAGGCTACAATAGCTGATAATTTCCTTACAAGAATTTTTGGTATAGTAAACACACAGACTAGAATGAAATTCCTTAAGGTTTCAAACAGATTTTTGAGCTCCCATATTCCTAAGAGATTCCATAGCTTCAGATTCCACCTTGCAAAGTAATGAGAAGAGGGAAAAAAAAGGTTAATAATTCATAATTTTCCGATTTAGACATGCCGAGGAGCAAGGTGATAAGTGTTTAGTGCTTTTTTTTGTTCTCAAGTGATGTCATCTCAAAAAGGAGCAAACCAAAGGTGCATATCTGTCACTTTTACACCAATATATCATTTTTTTCTATTAAGAGATCCTTCCACCAATGAGGTGCTCTAAGCCACACAAAAAAAACCGCAAGAGGATTTCTATCACCTCATCGAGCCATGAGCTTTTTATACACATTTCTATACTATATACTTAAACTGTGTAGTCTTTCACATGACACTTGGCCCTATGCATTGAGACATTAGCATGGTGGCAAGTCATAAAATCATAATTTGTCACTAGTTGATACGCAAAATGTATTTTCTTTATGCCTTTCAAAATAAATGTGAGTGGAAGAGAGCTTAACAATCCCCAAACTCAAGATGTTTCATATGCTACAATTCAATTATCACGACAATAAATTACTTGATAGTTATATAAATAGATGTAATAAAGTGAAACTTTTTGTCAATAAATAAATAAATAAATAAAGTGCGATGTAATTATAAAGGGAAAAGAATAAGGCACACTCTATTGCTACTCCAATAACAAATTTAATTCCGTAATTTCTTTTCATATGCTTACTATCCATAATCACACATGTGATTATGAAGCTATATATCCTCATTGCATGTCCTACTAGCCTACTGCAACTAGTTACACCATTTGCCCCCATAAGGGCCATAACCCATGACACCACTCGCTATAAGCCTATAATTACCTATAACGAGCTCCAATTTATGTTTTAATTCTTTAAATGAGATTTTTTTTTTAGAAAAGTAATCCCATCTTTGCGTGGTCAGATAATAACAATTCCACCTTTTGATTATTACAAGACAAATCCACCTTGGTATGTCATCTTCTTTTAACAAACCTTCACGTGTTGGTTACCAATTTTTGTAGGTCATATGGCATGTGTCACATTTTAACAAATTCATTTAATTTTGTTTAATAATACAAAAATACAAAAAAAAAAAAAAAAAAAAAAACAAAAAACAACCACCAACCTCCCACTGTAAAACCCTAGCCCATACCCCAACACCACCAAAAACCGGCCAACTGCCCTCCTTAACCTCCGAAAGCGGCCGCCAGCCGAAACCCACAAACCAGGGAAATGGAGGAGTTTAGCGGCTCGGGTTGAGTTTTTATGGTGTTTAAGGGGGTTTTTGGGCTGATTAAGATGGGGATTTTCGGTTAGAGTAATTAGGGTGGGGTTTTCTGGGCTGGGATGGAGGTTTCGGGATATTCGGCGGTAAAAGGTGGTTTTTGGCGGCTAGGTAGCACTTTCAGGGTGGTTATTGTGGAGGTTTCGGACTTTCGGGGGTGGGATTTGGGTAAGGGGGTTATTTCGGGGGTGCCTTTTGGTCAACTAAGTGGTTTTTGGTATTGGGGGGTTTTGGCCGGTCGATTTCAGGGATTTATGGTGGCGGCTGGCCAATTTTTGCTGGGGCGAGGGTAAAGGTTGGGGTTTTACAGTGGTTGTGGTGGGTGGTGGGTTCTTTTCCTTTTTTTTACTACCTCCGTTTCTTATTATATGCAACAAAGGGGTATTATTTGTGAGACATAAAATATTCCTTTGTTGCACATAATAAGAAACGGAGGTAGTATTTTTTTTACCTCTTTATTTTTATTTTTTTAACTTTTTTAATTTTGACCAATTATTGAGCAACACATGGCTTTAAAAAAAAACATTTTAACCTGGTTAACAGATTGTAGGTAAAAAGATCTGTTAAAAGAATATGACATACAAAGGTAGGGTTGCCTCGTAATAGCAAAAAGGTGGGATTGTTATTGTCAAACCACGCGAAGGTGGGATTATTAATTTCTATTATTCCTTTTTTTTTTATCAATTCTATGAAGTTCTACAAATCAAACAAAGGCACACCAACTGCTTCCACCACCACTCCATCAACAGGATGCAACGACAAAAACTATGAGTACCTTCTTAAAGATTCTACAACAGCATCTGCATTTTGTCCTTTTTTTTATTGATAACTAGTTATTGATACTGAATATATTAAATCACACCAAGTGGACAAGATGTCTTCACAACTTAACAGAGAAAACGAGCAAAAATTATCCCAATTCCGTTGCATATGCCACTTATCCAAGCCGTTAGAAGCTGATCCTATGCACACCCCAAATTCATTCGTAAGGACCTACTATGGTACTACCCAGCGGCTGAAAACAAAGTTATCAACGACCAGCAACAAGATATAAATACCTCAATCTCCATTGAGCTCAAAGAAAATCAAGAATCATCCAATCAACTACTATATACTCATTACCACTTCATACGGTATCACATCACCATAATTATCAATAAGAGAACACCCGTCCTCAAATATTTGACTATATGCTGATATGCAAAGTTGCAAACTTGATTAGTAAGTAGCTATCTGTAAGCTCATCCATTGAGGACCTAAGCATTTTTGCTGTCTTAGAGCATTAACTTTCTCTTCCTGATCCCATTATTCAAATTAAACAAATAAATACTTCCTCTGTTTCTTTATAGTTGCAACATACACTTATCACGGTATTTAAGAGAAGTGGACCTCACATGATATAATACACTTAAAATGAGGTTAAAAGGTTGTTAGGAGCATAATCAAGTGGACCATGTGCTTTAAATAAAGATAATAGTACACATTTCACCATAAAAACCTTCCTTTTATAGTGTGTTGCAACTATTATGACATTTCCATTTTAGGGAAGTGTTGCAAGTATAAAAAAACGGAGGAAGTATATGTCAACATAGCAAAGCTAAGCCTAACGTAAATAAATGCTTAACCCAGAAGCATAAGCATATTTTGTGCTAAGCATAAAGAATAAGCCCTGTCCTTGAATCTTCAAGTCACAAACTAAGATTTTGGTGATTCTACTTGAACTATAAGCAATTGGCTGAGGAAAATAAGAACACTTGCAAGTGGAAGAGATCTTGGACCTAAACTTCTCGGTTCATTCCTCCAAAACTTTCTTCAAATTTAGCCCTAAGGTATCCTTCTCAAACATTGCTACAAGCCTGCAAGGGCACATTTTTCCAATGTGCATTCCCACACACACACACATGCTATTTTTTCCAGCATACAGGTATCACAAGTCAGTACTCTAATGAAGCCAAACAATGATGACCTTCAGTTTATACACTATAAAATCCCTATGACATGCGTAATTCAATTCTCATTAAACAATAAAGCAGCCATCTTCCATGTAACAAGACAATCACCAACTTAATATAAAAGATCGAGGAATGTGTAGAGAACAAAATATTTCCTCTGTTCTTATTAATTGCAACAATAGCAATTAACTGGCTAGCACAAATTTTAAGAAAAAGTGAAAGGGAGACAAAAAAAGAAAGCCCCATTTGATTAGATAGAAGAGAGCAGAATAAAAGTAAACAAGTGGATTGGGCAAGGGTAAACTTGTAACTAATGGTGTGAATACATCCTAACACAGAACTGTTGCAATGATTGTGAAACATTCAAACATCCCAATTTAGTATTTATTGCAATTATTTAAGAACTGAGGAAGTACTTAATTAACTAAAAACAAAATTAAATCCTGATTAGAGTCAATAACGTGGACCTATGGAATACATTAAGGAGATCCCTTGGCATTATCCTTATTCTGCCTAAGCAAGCAAGTATACAGAAAGGGAGTGGGGGATAATGCAGCAATGAACCAAAGATTTTTCATGAGAGTCATGCAGTCAACAGACTGAAAACTATTGCAGTAGTGTTCAAGATAGATGCACAGAATCCCAACTGCAATGCAACAGCTGTCAATACTTAGCAATGTGAGCATACCCATGAATGAAAAATAACTGAAGATTGTGAAGGGACAAAAACATGTTGCAAAAAAGTTACTTGCAATCATCACTCTCTCTGATTGTTGCTTCATGATCCAGACATGTGACAATTTTTTTCCCAACAGCCCTTGCCACTAAATATTGAATAGGCGCATTAATTAATGAAAAATGTATAAAGTTACACTAGTTATCACTCTAAAGTCTAATCAGTATCATACTTTAGATACTTCTGATTTGGTTACAGGCACACTAAGGATGACGCTGACAATTAATGCCATCCACTTAGAGGGAGGAAAATTTCTGTTGACATGGCAGTGAATGTCATAAGCCTTTTGAGCATTATAACCGCTATTTACTAATGGAATTTTTGGTTAGCAGAATACAAGGAAGGGAAAGGGTGTTGAGGACCTCAAGCCCTTCTGTTTAGTTCCTTAATTTACATTCCCTTTCTCCACTTTTCCAGATTCAGATTTCCCCATGTACTTTCTCAGTGATTCTTCCAATCCCCCACCCCCAGATTTTGAACCCAACACCAAGTAATCAAATAGCAAAGAAAAATTGAGAAGGAAAAGTTGAATTTATTTGTCATTTTATTTAACAGAAAAGCAAACTTCTAAGGCAATTTATAAACCAAAAATCAAATCACAATAACAATAATACCTTTTCCTCTCGCTTCCATAACACGTTCATCCCTATATCTCAGGTTCATGAGCGCATTTCCTGGAGTCGGCTTGTCTACCCATATTGAGAAGCGCCAGATTAGAAACTCAAGGAATGCATCAAGCTCTGGTTCATATTGAAATAGAATCCCTGGCTAATTCCAACAAGTGAAAAGAATAGACAAATACACAAACCCAAACAAGAAGCCTTAAGTTAATCATGCAACTATATATGATACTAATAAATCTACCCTCTAGTAAGGTAATCAAAGAAATAGATGCTAAGTAGATACCTTCATCAAAGAGAATACTTTCACCAACTGCTCTTTCAACATGGCAGACATTTCAACATCCAGTCTTGCAGCATCAAATTGATTTACTCGGGATATTGAAATTGGAATCATCTGTCACAAAGTTCAAAGTTCAAACCACTAGTTATTACAAATATCATCAATCCATCATAACAGCGTATTTTGGAATAGGAAAATTGTCAATGGAAATGAAAATAGAAAAGGCAAACCTACACTGTAGTAACCTTAATATTAACAAATCACAGAAGAGCCTATAGTCATCAACATGTGTATGTGAAATGGCATAAAATCATGTACTTTTCTAATTACTATGGACCAAAGTGACAATAATCAAAATCTAAAATCTAATATCAATAGCAAACCAATATGGATCCCGTAAATACAAAGTTTACAACCAAGAGTAAATAGCCATCCCTAAGTCTCTAACTTGTCAAAGACAAAACAGGATTGATACCGAAGAAATGATCACAATGTTAACGGAAAGCAGCCTCTTCATCCCAAATTCATCTTTCCAATTTCCATTAATGGTATCCCAAATTCATTATCTCTCTCCACCAAATCCAACTCTAATCACTATAATTTGACATTTTATCTAACAAATTTACTTCTCGTTATCCACTAAAATAAAGTTAAAATAAGTGATACAAATCAAGGCCTCTAAAAAAAGAAAGGATATATCTTATGTGAGACACTACTGTATAATATACTCCATCAATTTCATAGTATATACTCCATATAAGGCACCTACGCTCGCCGCGTTCAAACATGGAAAGCTCATTCCACTCGATACAAATCGAAACTCGAAATGGCATGCCTAACTAACCTTTTACTTCTACTTAGCAAGATAAGTGGGGGCAGCACAAGAATTGAACATGCATAACCATATCTCAAAATTAATTCAATGAAAAACGATAATACTGCTCAAAAAGTATATCTCAGAATTAATTCAATGAAAAACGATAATACTGCTCAAAAGTAATAATACTAAACCAAATTAACAACAAATTACATCTAGAAACCCCTAATTTCAGCAATTACAACATACAAAAATCAAATTACCAGATTATAGAAATAAATTAAAGCTCAAAAATCGTCAAATTTGATAAAATGAAATTTGAATTTACCTGGTGAGCGAGAGGAAAGGAATTCCATTTAGGGAGAAGTGTTTTGTAAGTAGTGATCCAAGCATCTGGGGAAGGAATTTGCGGAATTGAAGAAGAAGATGAAGATGAAGATGAAGCTAGGGTTTGTCTGTCCATGAATTAGTTTGAATGTCGCATCAATTGGGGAAAAATGCGGTAGTTATTGGAGGATTTATGAAGATGATGTGAGAATAATGACGGTTTTTTTGCGGTTCAATTCAACAAGAGAACAAATGATTAAAATGAAGGCCAACGCGACTGACTTCAAGTCAATGGGGTAGGTTGACTTAATGACCTCACCAAACAAAAACTTAACTACTCCGTACTTGACTTAAAGGCTTAAAGCTAGGCCTATTCTTTTGAGTTATGCTGTTCTACCCTACTAATATGTTCTGCTCTATTTAGAAGTTCAAAAGAATAGAACCTAAGTATTTTTTTTTACTAGGAGTACCAAGCTAAGTTAAGCCCTCGAGTCCGCACTATTAAAAGGTTTAATCCACAAATTAAATCAAAAATACTATGAAAATTGAGATTTGATCATAATCTTTTTCCTTGCCTTAAAAAAAAGTTACAATTATTTACTCATTTGGAATTATTTGTTTGATCCACTAGCTAAACGTGTTTTGTCAAGACGTAAAGCATAGTCTAGAAGAGGCAATTGGTTAAATGAACCAGTTTCCGTATAATTTATTTTTTTTTGGTTTGTCTAGCTTTTGGTCCATCTAAAATAAAGTTTTGACCAAGTTCATAATATTCATGGAATAAGGAAGATCTAATAATATACTACTAGTCTACCACCCTGTTTCTTAAACTCTCTTTAATTGTTAATAATTTGTGTAATTGCTTGAAGAAATGGAGGGGATAGAATTGAATATACAATTCCTAAAGTTTGCTATTTTATTTTTTATTTTATTTTTTTAATTCAATAAACTTGAAATCATTTGATTTTTTTTAACGCAAAAGGGGAACTTATATTATATCATATAGGCCTTAGCCAAGTTAGTAACAACAAAAGCAGATAAGAGAGATACTTAAGAAGCAATCTTCTCTTAATTTGAGTAAAAGATACAGCCTTAAGAGAAAAGAAAACAGAGCTAGATAAGGTTTTAGGACATAAGCAAAATGATCCTGCTTGACTCATTACAGCACATGGTACTCATCAGGAAACGAAGCAGTATGATAGAACTAAGCTTGGGGCTGGTAAGCTGGGATTTCAGCAGCATATTGATTGAAGATATCAGCAGGAGGGTAGAAATAGGTTTCTTTCTCCCCTTGTTGACCCTAGTTCTGCCAATATGAGCTAAAGCGTTTGCAATTTGATTGACAGACCTCTTGGCATGGAAGATAGCAACATCCCAATCTCGAGCAAGGAGGGGAGCAACATCCCTGATAATGTTACCTAGATCGTGATCCTTGAAGGCTTCTGGATTTTTTAGCATTTTAGAAAGAGCATCCGCATCTGTTTCAAGGTCTAGATGCTGAATTTTTCCTATTACAAGCCATAAGAAGACCTTCTCTGATCGCAATGAGTTCAGAGGCAGCAGCAGACATTGCGTTGAAATTGACTGCAAAACCTTCTTGCCAGATACCCTTGGCACACCTTAGGACACCCCCACCTCCAGCATTCTCCAGGCCAACTCAAGAGCCATCCGTATTTAGTTTAAAATGACCAGCTTGAGGAGGAGCCCAAATTCTGTTTGAAGAGCCAAAAGAAGAGCTTGGAGTATCCACCTGTCCCTGCTCAAGTTTAAGGGTGAACAAATAAACCACTAGGAAGCTGTTAAAAGTTGATTGGATAAACAACATTTTTTTCTCAAAAATGGCCATGTTTCTTGTTTTCCAAAGGTGCCAAATAGCCATAAGAAAAATAGTTTTCCATTTAGAGTCATTAAAAAGATTAAAAACAATCCAATCAGCTAGAGAAGTGTTATAAAACATGCTTAAATCAAAGAAAGAATAGCCAAATTTCTCAAAAATAAGAGACCAAAAAGCTGAGGAGTTAGGGCAATCCCTAAAGATATGGATAGAGTCCTCTAAGGGAGCCTCACATCTAATACATAAAGGGTCAAAACATGGAATTCTTTTTTTAAGAGTGGTTCCAGTAGGAAGAATATCCCGAATTAGGTTCCAAGCAAGCATTTTGTATTTGTATGGAACCTTGATTTTCCACATACCTTTCCAAGACAGATTTTGCATAGAGGAGGAGATATTATTAGAAGGAGGAGAGGTAAAATTATAGGCAGATTTTATAGAAAAACTTCCTGAATTGTCTAGAGTCCATTTTAATCTATTGGAGACATGAACAAGTTTGGGAAGCGGGTAAGCAAGGATTAAAGAGCATATAGAGGAAGGAATAATATGTTTAACATCATTAAGATACCAAGAGTTATTCCTAATAATGTTATAAACAAGCCAATGACCTCTAGAATCGGGAATATTAATATTTGGGATTTTATAAAGAGGACAGTCTCCAATCCAATGGTGATACCAAAGCGAGGTATCTTCCCCATCTCCAATATGGATGATAATTCCCGATTTAAGGATTTCTCTACCAGAGAGAATGTCCTTCCAAATGATGAAATCAGAGGGTTTAAGATTGTAATCAATAAAAATGGTTATACTTAAGGTATTTAGAGGAAAGAATGCGCACCCATAATTTGGAAGGTTGAGTCAAAAATTTCCAACCAAGCTTAGCCATAAAAGAAAGGTTCCATCTTTTTAAGTCTCTTATGCCTAAGCCACCTTTAGCCATGGGGTCACAAACAACTTTCCAATTAGTTCTAGGAATATATCTAGATTTATTAACCCGATTCCAAAGAAATTGTTTTACAATGTTTTTGAAGATGGTTAAGCACACTAACAAGAAGCATATTAGTTTGCATGATATAGACAAGATAAGAATTAAGGACCGACTTAATTAAAGTACATCTACCGGCCATGTTTAAGAGTTTGGCTTGCCAACCCTTTATTCTAGAACAAGTCTTATCAAGAAGAGGAAAGTAGTCAAGGTGACTCAACCGCTTATGACTAATAATAATTCCAAGGTATTTACCAAAGTTAGTAGTATTGGTGATGTTACATATTTCACAAATGGATTTTCTAACATTATAGTCCATTTTCCTAGGAAAAATGGCCGAAGATTTTTTAATGTTAATAGATAATCCGGAAATAGATTTAAAATGATCAAGAACCTCCATTATAACATTAATATTAGAGGAAGTAGCTTTACCAAATAGAAAAACATCATCCGCATAAAGTAAATGAGAGATACTAACATCTTTAGTGATTTTCATTGGCAACCTAGATCCATCATTAACTCTAGCTTGAATCATGCAAGAAAGACGGTCAAGACAAAGGACAAAAATATAAGGGGAGAGGGGGTCTCCTTGACAAATACCTCTAGAGGGTAAAAAAGAATCGGTAATTTCACCATTCCATAAGAGAGAGATGGAAGGAGTGCAAATACAATTCAAAATGAGATTAATGATATTTGAGGGGAGATTAATACTAACAAGGGTATCCTTAATGAAACTCCATTCAAGACTATCGAAAGCCTTAGAAAGATCAATTTTAAGGGCCATCAAGTTAGCTTTCTTGGAAACCTTATTAAAGTGGTGAGCAACCTCTTTAATAATAATGATATTCTCCTCAGTAGACCTATTAGGGATAAAACTAGATTGAAAGCGACTAATCAAGCTATCCATAATAGGTTTTAAACGATTGGAAATACATTTAGTAATAATTTTATAAATAGTGTTACAAAGGCCTATCGGTCTGAAATCTTTCATAGACGAAGGATGATCGCACTTAGGAATTAAGGAAATATAAGAATTATTAATAGCCTGAGGAATGGAGCCTTTAATAAAACACTCACTAACAAAAGAAGTAATAGAATGCTTTAAGGAGTTCCAATTTCTTTGGAAAAAAATCGGTTGTAATCCATCGGGCCCCGGAGATTTAATAGGATCCATATTAAAAAGAACACTTTTTACATCATCCATAGAAGGGGGTAAATCAAAACCACTAAAAGAGAAGTTTTCAATAGATTTAGGAAAATAATTAATTTCTAAGAGATTTTGATTAATTGGCACGCTTTGAAAAACACTTATGAAATAGTCTCTGGCCATTTTCTTAATTAACTCCAAATCAGAAATCCATAAACCATTGTTATCTTGTAAGGTTAACACCTTACTTCTAGATTTTTTAATGTTAGCCAAAAGGTGAAAAAACTTAGTGTTACAATCTGCATTTTTCCTCCAATCAAGACCGGCTTTTTGAGCCCAAATAATTCTCTCAATTTTATAGATGTGATTAAGCTCAAAAACAAATCTTTCTCTAAATTAACAAGAAAAGTCGACTGTCTTTTAGAAAGGGCTATTTGTATGCCATTGATTCTAGCAACAAGTCTTTTTTTTATTATTAGTAATATTGTCAAAAACATCATGATTCCATTTTTTAATATTAGTCAAAAATTCATCCCTTCCTTTAATGAAATCAAAATGATGAACATCCCAATCATGAACAAAAAAGGAATTAAAATCGGGATGTTCAAGCCAAGCAGCTTTACATCTAAAGGGAAAAGCACCACTTTTGCATTTATCAAACAAAGAAATAATAATAGGAAAATGATCGGAATGAGTTCGAGCAAAGTGGATTACCTGAGTGTTTGGATAGGTATTCAACCAACTCGGATTTCCCAAGGCCCTGTCCAATATTTCTTGAATAAGATCTAATCCTTCCCTTGCATTGTGCCAGGTAAACGGATTACCAGAGAAACCAAGGTCTACCAAACAAGCAGCCTCGGCTAAGCGATTAAGATCAGAACATTGAGATTGCTTGAACCTCAAGCCACCTGACTTTTCCGATTGCTTTGTGACTTCATTTAAATCCCCAAGAAAGAGCCAAGGGGTATCATCAGGGGGTAGATTATTGCGAAGCTCATTCCAAAGCCTATGCCTTTCCGTGGGAGAGGAAGGAGCATGCACGGCAGTCAAGAGCACCTCCTTACTATCAGGAGAGAACTTAAATAGGGCATGAAAATAATTTCTAGCATGATTATCCTGGTAGTCAGTGAGTTCAACAGAATTTTTATACATCAGCCAAATTCCCCCTCTTAAACCATTAGGATTGATAAATTGAAAACCATCAAATCCTAATAACTTAGAAACTTGGCTAGCACGATTTCCATCACTCTTTGTTTCTAAAAGTATGAAAATATTGGGCTTATGGGCAGCAATCACCTCCCATGCATGTGGAATAAATTCATTCCTAGTGGCCCCCCTCACATTCCAAAGAACAATTTTCATATTAAGATCCGGATAAGAAGTTACCGGATTACCCTTAGAGAAGAGAGGGTCAAACTTGTCCCATTCCCTCCACGACTCTGCTCGATTCATCAGCACCACATCGTGCATCTTCAGAGGAACTACCATTGAGTTCACTTCCCGTATGGTGTTCGTAGTTTCCCAAAAGTTCACCTCGACTTGGAGGCCCACTACCTCTTTTGTGATGGTGAAAATTTTCATATGGTGTTCGGGGTTTTCGAGGTCGTGCTCGCTGTTTTCCGACAAGAGAGGGGTGATTTGAGGAGTTAGAGGTGGCGAAACCAACTCGTGGTGGCGGTAGCTCGGCCACTGCACCTGTTGCATATACCATGGGAGAAGAGGTTGCGGAATTGGGGATGACGGTTGCGGGATTGTGGGTTGGGGTGGAGGAGTTGAAGGCTGAGGAATTTGAGAGGTCATGAACTTGGTTATCTGGAGAAGGGTGTTGTACATCATGGCTATTTTTTCCGGAGTTGGAGGTGTCTCTATCGACGACCATAGGAGAGGAGGAGATAACGGAGGAGTCAAAACAATTTATCTGATCTGGGAGGGGGTCATTGATGGAGCAAGAGAAATGTTGAATGGGAATTGAGGGGGTGGCGGTGGTGGAGGTGGGAACGGGGAGAAGGGGTGGCGCATTGAAAGTGGTTGGGCTTGAGTGATCGGAGATCCCTGGAGGTTGATCTGGTGGTCTAGAGAGAGAGATGGTGGCGGGTTCGGAGTAATTGCCGGTGTCGGCACTGAAGTTCGGCGGTAATTCCGGGCCGGACGCCGAGGAGGGCGAATCGGGGTAAGTTCCCCTTTGTTTTTCTCCATTGGTAGTGATATTTAAAGTTAGGGTTTCGTTGATTTGGTTGTTCTGTGAGAATAAAGTATGTGAGGGGGAGTTTAAAAGGACGGAATTAGAAGGAGAAGGTTCAATTGCCTTTGTGGAAGACGATTCCATGGCTGCCAGGTGTTGAATAGCTTCTGAAGGCAAGCTAATGGAGGTTGAGGGGGAAGCGTGTGAAGGAGAAGATGAAAGATTTGTGGGATATGATTTTATTTTTTCAAGGTTTTGCTTATCATTGCTTTTTAATTTTTTATTATTTTCTTCAATGGTAGTGGAGTCTTGAATTGTTTCTAACAAGGCAAAGGTGTTTGAAATTGGAGGAGATGTAGAAACTTCAGAAGCAATAGTTTTCTTGTTAGTAAGTAAAACAATAGGAGATTTGGGCTTGGGCTGAGTAGTTGGTTTTGGATTTGGGCCGTGGGTGGATTTACTACCAGGCAGCATTTAATTGGTATACACTAGACCCTAGTGTAGGTACCACACCCTACACCCCCCTCTAAACGATGCGTTTAACAATCTCCCTTATATACCCACTTTCTGCAATTGTACAGTAAAAATCAAACCACCATTTATCTTTTTTCACTTTCTCTCTCCTCACCCATTTTCTGCATTTTCTCTCTCTACGCCCATTTTCAGCATTTTCTAATCCAAAATTTTCAACAAACTTTGCGACAAATTATCCAAAAAAGTTGTTCAACTGCTACATAATTCAACAAATCAAGGTCGAAATTCAAAGGAGTAAGTGATTTTGTTCATATTTAATTCGAAAAAGAGTATAAACCCTAATTTTTATAATTTATTGTTGCAATTATGTTACAGGAACATTTACTATTTTTAGTTTTAAAACTAGTAATTTGAACAAGTACAATTGAATTTTGAGTATGAAGTATTTCATTTTTTTATTGTAGTATGAAGGAAATAGCTTCGGAGAAGAACATCAAAAAAAAATCTGGAGAAAAGTAAGCATTAATTAAATTAGTTCGTAGTGTTTTTTTTTTAAAAAAAAAAAAATTTATAAATGTTCATTTTCATTTTGATAAATGTTCATTTATATATTAGTATACAATCATTCACATGTTAATAAATGATTAATACAAATATTTATTTATATATTACTACACAGTCATTGTAAAAATCTCCTATTGTAGATCAAGAACTTTTAAAAGATATTAACTTCTGGTATAGATGTTAACATTTCTACAATTCCGAGGTAATATATGAACATATACTGAATTATAAATGTTCATTTGTATATTTGAATCTATTTGAGTTTATATTTGACTTTATATGCCAAAATAAAAAATGTTCATTTGTATATTTGAATCTATTTGAGTTTATATTTGACTTTATATGCCAAAATAAAAAATGTTCATTTTTATGATACGTTATGCACATTTATGAAATGCATAAATATTCATTCATGTGGGTTGAGAAACTGACTTATGCATACTATGAAATCTTTTGATCATATATGAAATTCATAATGTTCATTTACATATATAGTAATGTAAATCAATGTAAGTATTATACTATAATCTTAGCAATTTTTATTGAAGAACTAATAAATTATATCTGTACATTCTTCAGTTTTGTTTGCAGAGCGAAGGAAACCGTTTCAGAGAAGAGAAACAAAGATTATAGTTCGCAGTTATTTTTATTATTATTATTATTTCTTTCTTTTTTTTTTTTTATAAATGTTCATTTTCATTTTGTTAAATGTTCATTTATATGTTAGTATAACGTCATTCACATTTTAATAGATGATAAATGTTAATTTACGTATTGATAAATGTTCATTTTCAATATATATAAATGTTAATTTACGTATTGATAAATGTTCATTTTCGTTCTTATTCATGATCAACAAGTAAATGCATTAATTTTAAAATGAATATGTGCATATACTTAAAAGTTCATTTATATACTACTAATTAAAGCACCCAATTATATCATGAATTAGTTATTTTAACAAATTTAATAGGAATTTCAATAAGAGTGTGTGCTATGTTGTAGTTTTCATGGAAATGATTCTTACAATTACAATAAGGAGTGTGTGCTACCTTCAAAAAATTTCAATAACAAGTACAAAATTATAAATTTTATACATTTTTCATCCATAATAGTGCTCCTTAATTAAATGTTCAATTATAAATAATTGTATGTTCATTTACAACTATTAATAAAATATGTTCAGTTTTAAAATATTATATGTGCAAAATGACGTCACTTGGGGAGGGGGGGTGTAGGTAGCAGAAGCTACACCGGGGTGTAGTGTAAAATTTTCAGGCAGCATTGTGTTCTTTTTAGAAAATTTGCTTGGATTAATTTTTTTTCTTGTTGGACACCATAGTCCAAGGACCATAGTCAGAGTTTGAGTGGGGAACTAAGACCCTTGAATTAAGGGAATTAGTAGAAATTGTATTTTTTGAGGTAGTGGGATTGTTTGACAAAACAAGCTCCTCTTTTGATGTAGTGGGATTATTAGGTAAATCCTCATTTGGGACAATCTTAGAAGAACATCGGTCGTTAGAATGACCAATTTTTCCACAAGAGAAACAAAGACATTGGATATTCTCATACTCAATAATTTGCCAGCTATTTCCCGCCCAAACCTTTGAGACTAGAGGTAAAGTAAGATCTATGTCGATACAAACTCTTGCATATCTAGCTCTAGTAAGATGATCCGTAGCATAATCAACCCTTAGAGGGTTTCCAGCTAGAGTAGCAATATCGAAGAGAGCATCTTTATCATAATATTCAACCGGTAATTCCGGGAATCTAATCCATACCGTCATGCGATCAAAAGGATTCATTGATGGTCTAAAATTGGGCTTCCATTTTGAAATCATTAAGTAATGATCAAGAATAAACCAAGGACCCCCGAGGAGGGCTCGTTCATAATCATCTTGAATAGAGAACCGAAATAGGTAAACATCTTTCCCTAAGTCAATGACTTCGAGAGTTCCTTTTGGTCTCCACATGGCCCTTGCACATTGAGTCATGAAAGAAGGATGAACTGAGATCCCTAAGCATTTTCCCATTAATGTTAGTTTCCATGGCTGTCGAAGCTTATCAAGAGTTTGTTTACCAAAAGCAACTGTCTTAGTGGAATCAGGTGGCGTGATGTCTTCATGATCATCATCCCATTCCATAGAGGAAACACAAATTTTTCTAGCCTCAGAAAGCCATTGAGAAGAGTTTTGGACTGCCTCTCGAAAAGATTGCTTAAGGATTTGAGGATGATCAACCATCCCACCCATAGCAACATCCTTGGTAGAATTGTCAGCATTGACATTCGGTGGAGCAATTTCAACTCCATCTATGACCTTAGGAATAACACAGTGGTTGCTATCATCTTGAATTAAAGGACTTGAATCAACCATGTTGATATCACTAGGATTAACGGAATCAATCTTAGAAGATGACTCCATGAACAAAGCAGGAAAAGGAATAAACAAGAAAGATCAGGACATGACAACGAAAGAACCGCGAAGACTGAAAAAACCTGAAAAGAAAAAACAATTTGAGAAAGAAAGCTAACCTTTCTCAAAACAAGGGCTCCCAAGGCCACCTTGCCTAAGCAAGGAGGGAGATCCTTGTTGACCCTTGATAGAGAGAGAGAAGTCATTTCCAAGTACTTGAAATCATTTGTTGTTTGCTTTATAATGAGAAAATTACAAATAAAAGTTGTAAACAAAAGTTCCATCTTTATAAAATGACTCTTTACAATTGAGCTCTTTTGGCAAGAATGACAACTATAAACTAATAAACATATACTTAATTAATTATACACAACGTAGTGAATATTATGAAATAGGGCCATGCTTACCCGCATACATTTGTGTTACATAACCTTGTGTCAAGATTACCCATAAATCCACAATAAACAAGTGAACAACGTAAAATACTAAGATCACATATCATCCCATAATTTACATTCTTCAAACAAAAACCCTTAAAAATTACATCTTTCAATCTACCAAAAAAAATTACAAAATGTTAATCTTATCACGAAGGAAGTATTCGCGTAGTATACCTAAAAAGTCTAAAACAAAATGACCAGAATTACACAAACCAACTCAATCCCAATTGACACATAATAAAGGATAAAACCGCAAACTCAATTAGCGCCTCATAAACCCATATCGAGAACCACACACTAAACCCCAACTCTACCCAAACAAGCATCAAGATACACCTCAAGACCCACCTCAACTTCTCTCCCCAAACTCTCTTCCCCAAACCTTTTCAACCCTTTACTCAAAACCTTAGCCAAATACTCATCAACTTCAACACCCGACCCACTACACCCCCACCCACTTTTCTTCATAACCCCATAAATCCTAACCATTGATTCCCTCCTCTTAGCCCCAATCAACGCCTTCACCAACCTACTCAACCCCCTCTTATCCTCCCAATCAATCCCCCCTTTTCCACCGTCGATTTCCATCTCCAACCCCTCAATCAAACGGTCAATATCTTCCTCTATTCCACCCTTCTTATCCAAAGCTAATACCAAATCAGCGTAAAGGGATAAATCAGTCTTGTACCATGGTTCTGATCGGACGGTGGAGAATACGGTTAAAGCGAGGTCGCAGTGACCTTGTCGTAGAAGCTCCCGTAGAGTAGCAATTAGGTCGGCTTTGATTAAACGTGTGAGTGTTTTGTTGAGGGTTTCGTGGACTGTTGTTCCGGTTGTTCTTTGGGCCCGTTTTAGGGCTTGGACTGCTTGGATTGCTTCCGTGCTTAGTACTCGGCCTTTTACTAGTGGCCCACGGTTGTCTCTTGGCCCACAATAGATGGTGGGCCTGGGGTTGGGCTTGGGCTTTGAGAGGGAAAGTTGGGTGGTGAAAGGTGTTAGTTGTGACGGAAGTAGGGTGGTTGCCATTACTGAGGTTTTTTGGGGTTGAGTTTTGTTTCTGGTTTTTTTTATGGAGAAATACAAAATATTGATTTGATAAGGGGAAAAAAAAAAAAGGAATATGTGAAATTACAAAAATGGGTCTAGGAATGTAATGAAGCAAAGATGTAAAAAAGCGTCGACAGCAGGATTCGAACCTGCGCAGGCAAAGCCCAACAGATTTCGAGTCTGTCTCCTTAACCACTCGGACATATCGACCTACATATATGGATATTCCTAATTTGATATTATAATATGTTTATTATTTCAGTTTTTGAGTTAAGAATTCATCTTCAGATTCTTTACTAGTAGTCTAGTACTGTACTCCGTAGTAAATGGACAGTATATCAGATACGTAATATTTGTGTTTCTCTAGTTACTGCTCTTAACGGTCTTGGTTGAGCTGTCAAAATAGTTTCGTCAATTTACCTCAAGGATTAAACTTGAGACCTCTCACTCACCAGATAATGTCCGAGTTATGCTCGGCTATTAAAATTAGTAGGGACTTCTAATTAAAATATAGAAGTCTCTATATAAGTTTAAATCATTAGTAGCTTAGTCAACTCTCATATAAATATAAATAATGAACTTTATAGATTAATTATAAAGTCATAATGAAATTCTTAGAGGTGATCAATGGGGAGTCGAGTTCGGGCTAGGCCAAGGTAAATAAATATGCCCATTTATCAAGTTGTGCCTGGCCAAACTCCGAGCCAGAAAATGTGTGCCCAAATCTTCCCAAACAAGCACAGCCTAGGCGGGCTTTATGGGCCGGACCAATAACTAAAATTGCATAAAATTGATTTCCTAATCCCGTCCAAAATTAGCCCGACCCGATTTTGAGCCGGAAATTAGTGAACACTAGACCCTAGTGTAGGGTCTACAACCTACACCCCCATGCAAAACGGTACCGTTTTACCCTTTCTCCTACTAACTCCTCACTTCTCATATACTATCCTCTTGCAAGTTGTTACAGTAACCATCTATACCCCACACACTACATTATGAAAAAAAAAAAATTGAACCACCATTCAAATTTTCTCCCTTCATTCTTTTCATTTTATTTCTCCATTTTCTCTCTCATCAAAATCTTCAATATTTGCAAATAAATTTCAGTAAAAAGTTATAATTCTCTATAATAGTCAAGCACAATGTCTAATATATGAGATAAACTTACACAATCGCTGGAAAAAAATACCAAAACAAAGTCGAAAATCGAAATTGTAAGTGTTTTTGTTGATTTTTGAAATGAAAACACAAGTTTGATGTCCTAGTGTTTTTTTTTACTGATTTTTGTTGGCAATTGTGTTTTCATGAAAATAAAATAAATATCCAGCTTGAAAATGTATCAAAGTAAGTATGATGATATAATTTTACTTATTTTTGTAAAAAAAAATGGGGAAAAAAAAGTAAATTTGTGGTGTATTATTAGTTTATAAAATTGCTGGACTCAAAAAATTAAAAAAAGAGTATAATTGTCGCAAATTTCTGGTTGATTTAATCTATTTCATATGTTTATAGATTTGTAAATTTAGTTCGTAGTGGAAAGTTCTATTTTTTATGAATGTTCATTTTCAACTTGGTAAATGTTCATTTATATATTAGTAGAAGTTATTCAATGTTAATAAATTATTAATATAATTAATGTTCATTTATATATTAGCACATGATCATTCACATATTAATGTTTGCTCTTTTTATATTTTGAAGTGGAAATTTCTTTGATAAATGTTCATTTTTAATTGGTAAATGTTCAATCACATAATATTATATGATCAAATGCATATTAAGATACATTTATTAGAAATTTGATATATGATAAACATATTTTTATACTACTAATTAAAGCACCCAATTATATCATGAAGTAGTTAATTTTACAAATTTAATAAGGAATTTCAATAAGAGTTTGTGCTATATAGCAGTTGTCATGGAAATGATTCTTACATACAATTACAATAAGGAGTGTGTGCTACCTTTAAAGTTTTTCAATAACAAGTACAAAAATTATAAATTTTATACATTTTTCATCTATGATAATGCTCCTTAATTAAATGTTCAATTATAAATAATTGTATATTCATTTGCAACTATTACATAAATATGTTGAGTTGAAATATTATATGTTCAATTACAAATGTTAAATAAATATGTTCATTTTTGAAATATTATATGTTCAACTATAAATAATTGTATGTTCATTCACAACCATTAAATAAATATGTTCATTTTGGAAATATTATATGTTCAATTTTAAATAATTGTATGTTCATTTACGACTATTAAATAAATATGTTCATTTTTAAAATATTATATGTTTGTTTATAAAATTATACGAGTATTTTGTTTATAAAAAAATTTAAAAATTATACACTTCTCATTAAAATCAGAAGCAAGCTTTTATCAATGGTGATTTGAGCTTCTTTATATTTTCCCTGTTTCTTAATCCTTTGCACTTTCCCCCTCTAACCCACTCAACTAATTAAGCCACAATAACTATTGTTTCCTCATTGCCCCATGACCACTGTTGTCTCGCTGTCGCTGCTATCACCGTTGCCACATAACCACCATCATCTCGCCACCACCGCTGCCATAGCAACTGCAATTTGTTTGTAATTGATTCGAATAGGCTTGCAATTTGCTTATTGAGTCGATTTCTTGTGAGTTAGGATCATTAATTGCTTAGTTTTTTGAAACAAAGGATCATCAATTGCTTTATTATAATTGATACCATGGAAATCTCTTCACATTCTTTATTTTATACAAGTACAATAATTTTTACATGGAATTGAAACTCAAAACATTGAATTAACTTGCAATGGTATATTACAAAAAAGAAAAAAAAAAGAAAGTAAACACAAAAAAGAACAAAATAACGTCACTTGGGGAGGGGGGTGTAGGTAGCAAAAGCTACACCGGGGTGTAGTGTAAAATTTTCAAGCCGAAAAAGGTTGTCCAAAGCCCGCCTAAAATCGGACCAGGTTGGGTCAGGCTCAAATTGATCACCTCTAGAAATTTTTATATTTTGATTAATATCCCTACCTTGTAAAAAGTGGGAAGTTGTTCTTATGAATAGTGCACGGACCTTTTTGCCCTTCAAAATACCCTACCTTATAAAAAGTGGAAAGTTGTTCTTATGAATAATGCACGAACCTTTTTGCCCTTCAAAATATTTATTTACCTTCTTACCCCTTTATAATCCCTACCCAATAATGAGTTTTGCGCTTTAATTTCTATCTCCTCAATCTTTATTCACCATCCCTGAGTAGAAGAAAACCCAGAGAAGATGAAGCACAACCCAAAAGTAATAATTGACCAGCAATAAAGATGACGAATGTGAAAAAGCTTTTCATTAGCTCAATGGAGGCTATATTTATTGCACAACATTTTACGTTATCAATCTGTCATAGGAAGATTAAAATAATACTCCGTACTTAAAAATAATTTGCAATAATTATTCCCATAAACAATAATTGTAACTCTTTTCAAATTCCGTACATGCATTCATTTCCTATTATCAATTCAATTCTAATTAAAACTAAGCTTAAGAATTGCTAGAGTTTGTAACTTTTTTTTTTTAGGAAACTGATAGTTCTTTTATAATTCCAACAATTTATATACTTTGCTTTCCTATTCTCCTTCATCTTAATGTCTCCCTCACCTTTTAAAAAAAAGGTTAGTATTGTTCAATGCATTAATTCACAGGGCGACTAATTTCAAGAATTTGAAGTAATAACTACCACCTTGGCAACCAAGCTACTGTAAGTTTAGATTGCATCAACAACATCCCTAACTAGACTTCGGGTTCTAAAGTGGCCTATCAAAGCCATTTCCTTTGGGATTTGTTAAACATCGCCCACAAATTACTACATAAAGCCCACAAAATTCACTTGGTTTCCCAAAATTGCCCTTGAACTTAAAAAAAAAAACACTCACACTCTCATCACTCACACTCTCATTGCTCATCTTCTTTCAACCTCTCTAAAAAAAAATTCAAAATAACGGCAATGTCGAGGCGGCAAGGCAAGGAAGTGGCGGCGGCGGCGGCGGAGGGAAGGATGTCCCAAGGAGGAAAGGTATATTTTGTTTAAAAAAAAAAAAAAAGGGGAAAACCGCCGTGAACGCGGTGGGGCGCCCTGGCTGGACGCCCAGCCGGCGGTGGTGGCGCCAGATGCAGACGCCGCCACCAGTTGGCTGGCGCCTGGGCTGGACGCCACCGCCACGGTTGTGGCGTTTAGTCTAGGCGCCGCAGCCGTGGCTGTGGCGTCCAGCCCAGGCGCCAGCCAACTGGTGGCGGCGTCTGCATCTGGCGCCACCACCGTCGGCTGGGCGTCCAGCCAGGGCGCCCCCCCCCATTTTTTTTTTTATTTTTTTTTAATTTTTTTAAAAAATTGTTTTTAATTTTTTTTTTTTTTTTTTTGTAATATAATTTTGAATTGTTTTTAAATTTTGTTGTTTATTTTTATAAATTTTTTCAATTTCGTTGTATTTTTTCTACGTTTATATTTTGTTTACTATTATTTGTATGTTTTTAGTGTATTTGATTTGCGATGATGATTATTTATCGTATAAATTTTTGTATGTTTATATATTTTAAAATTTTGTGTAGGGTCGTCATGGTGGGGGGAAGAATATAGAGCTTCTTAGTAGAAATTATTCAGTGGAGAGGTCGGGGCATAGACATGTCAGATCCCGTGGTATTTCGGCCTCAGTTCGTAGAGAACGGATCCACCGTCGGGATGAGGATGACGATGACGATGATGATGCTGAGGAGGGTGACCAGGAGGAGGAGAAGGAGGAGGGCGCAGATGAGGATGAGGATGTGGACGATGGCAGTGGACCGTATGATGATTACGGTCCATTCAGTCAGAGGGTTGATGACATGTACGAGACACATATGGTGGAGGTGCGTAAGGGTAGGGGTGGTAGGTTTGTTAGTAGATCTGGCACATCATCTGCGTCCACTGTATCTGGGGCAAGCAGGAAACGGTCGAGGGCGGGTAATGATTCTTGGGTTGTTAGGAGTGAGGTGCCCGGTGGGCCTGTTGACGGGAGTGTGATTCCTAGCTTTCTAGGACACATAGCTGCCCGTATTTGGGAGGACCAGGAGAGGCCTTCAGTTACGGGGTTGTTGAAATGTCATACCCGGGAAAAGACTTGTAGTTTTTTGCGTACATGGGCTGAGGCCTGGCCGGCGGAGAGCGAGATGTTCGAGCGACTGGAGGGCACTGGGGTGAAGCACGTTCCTGCCACCATGCACGATAAGATTGACAGT